AACATTCATGCGAGTCGGCACTGCAGTATGTGTGCTCTAAATAGCGTTTATATATTCATGATGGAGATATTTTATTAAATGTTTTCATCGACCTTCAGCGTGCATTTGAAACCATCGATAGGGAGAAGACTTATACAAAAATTGCAGGCCTATGGAATCACGAACAGTGCACTTGATTGGTTTACTGATTACCGGAGGGACCGTTCCCATGTGACTAGAGTTAATAATGTGTCCTCAAATTCAGTTACTAGTGAGATCGGAGTACCGCAGGGCAGTGTCTTAGGCCCTCCTTTGTTTGTCATATATGTTAATGACCTTGAGAAAGTTTAAAAGAATACATTTCTGAGTTTATTTGCAGACGATACATTACTTTGAATTTGTGTAAACGGGAAGGATTTTAATCAGGTAGTAGATACTATGAACTCAGAACTGGATATCTTGCATAACTGGTTATGTGTAAATAGGCTTAAATTAAATGTAAAATAGACAAAGTACACGGTTTTTGGCTCTAAGCAGAATTGTAAAAAAATTTTAGAAAATAATTAAAGTATTAAGATAGATAATAGTCTTATTGAAAATGCATCTAATATGAAATATTTAGGTATAGTTTTGGATTCTCAGCTTAATTTTTCATCACATGTATATTATATCAGTAGAAAAGTTGGGAAAAAGATAGGATTTTTTAGGAGAATAGCTGAAAATCTTTGTCACTGGAGTCGTCTTCTTCTATGTAATACCGCATTGTTGATTGTAATATTGTTTTTCATTATTGATTTCATGGAATAAGGCCGATATTCAAAGACTCCAGTTGCTACAAAATAAAGCCATTCGGATTATTTTATTCTGTACACGTTATGCTCCCATTAATTTAATGCTAAAGTCACTCGGATGGCTTTCAATACAACAAAGCGTAGAGATATATGGGTACTCCAAGCAGGAGATAAATAGAGCCATAAGACCGAAGCAACAGCGCACAACTAACAAGGAACCGGCACAGGTGGCAGGGAGAGCCTTTCTTCCCTATATCGAAAATGTCACAGATCGCATAAGACGAACGCTAGAAAGACACAACGTTAAGCCTATCTACAAGCCCACAAGAACAATTCAGCAAAGTCTAAGATCGGCCAAGGATCCTAGGGCATCTCTTGAATCGGCTTGCGTCTATAGAATTCCGTGCTCTTGTGGATCTGTCCATGTAGGAACAACCAAACGTTCTATCAACACCAGGGTCAAAGAGCACAAAAGAAACTCTCAGCAAGGACAAATAGATAGATCAGCAATCGCCGAACACGTGCTTACACAACCAACCCATGTCATTAGTTTCGACCAGACTCAAGCATTGAATAGAACCAAACATTTCTACACCAGGCTCCACAGAGAAGCCATAGAGATACAGAAACACCATAACATCTTCAACAGAAAAGAAGAGGGCATGAACCTCAACAAAAGCTGGTTGCCAGTTCTCCGAAAAACAAAGACCCTTCCTTTCCGAGAACGAGACAAGGAAAATACCGTAATCCAAGCCACGCCCACAACCCTGGATATAAATAACGCAGTTCCCTCAACGTCGAATTCAGTCATCGGAGAAACACGGAAGAGAACACTTCGTCCTCTACCACACCGCCTCTGAAGATGTCTACCGCAGCAGTAAACGAAACGTTAGGTAGAAATACTAATGGACCACGGCATTATAGCCCGGACTAGATTTGACCGGCCGTGAAAGCCTTCATTCTTTATTTAAAGCGTAGAGATGTCCAATGTGGTATTTATTTTTAAAATAAAGAATCGATTATTGCCTGAATATTCGCAAGAATACCTAATTCCAAGATCACGTGAACAACTCATGCAGAAGTGTCTTTTCAATGATGGTTTAAGACTTTTCAATGCATTACCCACGGAGATTAAAAACGCAACGTCTGTGAAAAAAATTATACGTCAAATTAAGTACAATTGCTTAATTTGACGTATAATTTTTGAGAACTAGGTAGATTGTGGATTCTGTTGTGTGGAGTTCTGTACCTTTTGTTGTGTTATGCTTAGTTATATTTTTCACCTTACTATTTATTTTTAAAATTCGGAATTACTGTGTAAAGCAACGTAATGCAATATTGTTAATTTTAGGAAGTAGCTTTAGGGCTAAGAATAATAAATATTTCATTTCATCGATCGCACATAAGAAAAAATTCCATATCCTACAAATATGTAGCGATCATTATGGGGGACACTGTACATATAATAGAAAAAAAGTTATCTAAATCATAAGGTAGCTACCTGAGTACTAAAACGATGAAATTTCGAAGTTTTTTTTGTTGAAATTTTGTATCTTAATGGTCCCTTGGGATCCTCCGCAAACTCCATATACTAAATTATTCTGAGATTTGGAGCCTGAATCTATGAAAAAAGACACTCAGAAAATTGAAAAATTGATAAATATACCCCAAATGGCTTAACACGATTTTATTTCTGGAACTATAAGTCCAAATGAGCTGAAATTATCTGGGATTGTAGTCCCTTACTGGGATAAGAATCGCTGAAAATTTCAGCTTTCTATTTCCAATAGTAAAAAGGTAATGATTATTTAAAATTTACAAAAATCTAAATCATAAGGTAGCTCAGTACTGAAATGATAAAATTTCAAATTTTTTTTGTGTTGAGATTTTGTATCTAAATGGTCCTTTAAGATCCCTCATACTCCATACACTAAATTATTCTTAGATTTGAATCCAAAATCTATGGAAAAAAGGGCTCAGAAAAATTGAATTATTGATAAATTTACCCCAAATTGCTTAACGCGATTTTATTTCTGAAACTATAAGTCCAAATGACTTGAAATTTTCAGGGAATGAGACTCGCTGAAAATTTCAGCTTCCTGTCTCTAATAGGAAAAAGGTTATGTTTTTTTAAAGTTTACAAAAATCTAAATTATAAGCTACCTTAGTATGTAGTTTAGTTATTACATATTACATATTTAAATTCTATAGAAAAGAAGAAAAATATTAGTTGTTTAAAACTTCTTAGGATGCAAAATAATACCCTATGTTGTATCTACAGCTTTTAGCCTTTATGTAAAGAGAGATATAGAAAATTAGTCCAAAATTGTAGTTTTTATAGCAGATCCCATGCAAAAGGAATCTACATCTTTTTGATATTGACAGTAACCAAAACGATGTAGTTCAAGTTTGTACAGGGGGGCCCGTTTATTTTGTCCTATCTCGGTATATGGAAATCTAGATATTTTATGACAAAAAGTTAAATACAAAAGTTTGGGTTTAAATCATTAATTTGTTTTTCTATATTTGCGCATATACAGGAGGAGTCAAAAAAGTGTGACACATTAGATTTAATTTTTTTTGATAGAACACCTTGTATATTTTTATATTTTTTGATAGCGCTTTCAAAAACAAATATAAATATATATAGTTTGATAGGGTTGTTATGCACGGTTTCGGATTTATTTACGGTTATTTTCGGGGAATAGCCAATTTTTAGATTATTGTAGAAACGTTAGACGTTAAAAATAAATATTTAAAAGTCGGAATTTGATCAAAGGAAACATACAAATAAACAGATTAATGATTTAAACTTTAAACTTTTGTATAAAACTTTTTTTCATAAAGTATCTACCTAGATTTCCATATACCGAGATAGGACAAAATAAACGGGCCACCCTGTACAATAAGGTAATTTCCAATATTTCAAATATTCTCAAAAAAGATAAAACCAATGATATCAGTTGACATTTATTTTAATCTTCTCAAGCGTCTCGAATATAAATGCAACTACGTTCAATTTATTTCCAGCTATTTTATCGATATGTACAAATCACAAAAGAAAGTGTTTTCCGACTGACGCAAAACGGTTCTCGATACATTTTATGTATTGCAATTTGCGAGACGGTTCTTGTTTCAGAAAAGGCAGTTGATGTTTATAAATTACTACAATTTAAGATGAAATTTCGATAGTATAGAATTGAAGGGGTTGAATTTGGGCGTATATTTAATCAACTGACTGTAATATATTTGCCAGCCTTTTCAAATTATATAGATATAAGAGATGAAAAATGCTGAAACAAATATTCAAGAGCACGATAATGAAGTTTCTGCGGACAAAATATCCAATTTCCCGTTGTTTTTAATAACCGGAAATCTCGGTGGCAAGTTGCGACAAAGAAAAGTTGCAAGTTTAATCCGAAATGCAAGCGGTAAAGTAAATTGAAACCTCAAGTACCGCCATTTCGACTTCAAACAGGCTTTTCAATTTCCTATTGTTTTGCAATCTTGCTTTTTGAGTTTTAATTGAAGTTTTGAGTACTCGGTTCTAATAATTTGTAATTAATTTCAAGTTAAACGAACGAAAATTCTTCAAGCTAGAGATAATGATTTTGAATTTCCAGACTCCTGATAGGTAGATGATTTTTCATAGTTTTTAGAAATTTATCTTTGTATTGTAAGATCTGAAATGTTTAGGAAAAAAGCAGCGGAAAAATTGGAAAATTATGAAAAATTCTCCTTTTTCCTTTAGCGGGCTTGTATCTCTATAACTCCAAATGAGCTAAAATCCTTCATTAAAAATTTTAACTTTGGTTATTTGGGACTGTTCAAACTAGAGATCAGAAAACTTCACAAAATTCATCGCAATTTGTTGGTTAATAACAACGCATATCGTATCTATATCTAAAAAGTTCATAGACTTTATGCCAGTTAATAATAAACTTCAATATCTACACACGATATTAGATCCTCGAATAACTTTCCTATAGTTTTATTTGCCCATCGAATACAAACAAAATTAGTTTGTCCCAATACGAAATATGTTCAACAATGTTATTCCAGGCGAATCACGAAGCTTCTCAATTATTTATATTTTCTAGTATCGATTTCCTTGGACGAGCAACAGTTTATTTGGATTGGAAATGCATTGAGGACATCAGTCGTAATTCGACCGCGACGCTTCCAATATCATTTGGACAATCATATAAGTTAGTTTTTTTTCTTTTTCAGGTGCAGGGCACCGATAGCAAGTCTGGATTGTATGGAAGAGTTTAGCGCTGGTAGCGGACTGAGCGGTCTCGCCGATAAAGTGGCAGACGGAAATTTAACCAAAGAACAGCTTTTGCTGGGCAGTTTGGCCAACTCGGCAGTACCGTTACAATTGAACCGTACCACCAACGTCACGCCAGGTTTGAGGTATAGGAATTTAGGTAAAAGCGGATTGAGAGTGTCGAATATAGGTTTAGGTAAGCATTCATAGAAATATTTTAGCTTTAGACCTATAAAAATTTGTTTGTAGGTACTTGGCCAACTTTTAGTCCAAACGTAACGGAGGAACAAGCAGAACAAATAATAGTTTTAGCAGTAGAAAGCGGTATTAACGTTTTTGATTTGTCTGAGGCGCATTCTGGTAAGTAATACCAAAAATAAGTTTTCACTCGTGCTGTTAAAAGTGGCTCTTAGTTTCGTGTTTGAATTAGACTTCTAATGCTTTTAGCATTTGACTAATTAGTTCTATTCTGAACCCTTGAACAAATAGTGAGTGGCCATTTTACTCATATTTAATCACTAAAACCGACTACAAATACATGGATGAAACCTCGAAATACCGATAGCGTTCTATGCTTATTAAACCGCAGAAAATTACTATCCTCGGGTGCATTTAGAGGTATGCGCTAGCTGGCTTTAATATAAGCCATTATCGAGATAACTGGGAATGTGGAATGTGATTTGATAATAAATTGTAGAAGAACTTGAATCTAATTTTTCATGGACTATTCCGTTTCAAGAAAATTTTGTTTTGTCTACTCTATTTTATAGATTGATCAAGGATATGAGTGTATAATCGACTGAAATTATTCTCATTGATAGCAATTATGATACATTTTGATGGTATTTTCTAGCTCAAGATTTTCTTCAGCTTTCTATAGGGTGTACATCTTAGTCGTTTCCTGTCTTTTTTCTTGGTTATTCCGCACCCGATTTATTCCTTTTTTGTTGTTTCTCTTGGTAAATACTAACTTAGAAAACAAAATACACGAGTAGCGTACACTTGGCCAAACATAAAACTGGTACAGGCAATATATATTTTTCAAATTTGCCTAGTGTGAGTCAGGCTTAACAACAAAAAGTCTGTTCTGAAAAACTTAGGTCAGACAGTTTTTGACAACGTCAAACCTGAACAAAAGTAAATAAATGCAACATGTTTTTATGTTATGATTGGTTTAAATATGACACTGACTTGACTCTTTTTGTCATTGTTGAGGTGATGAAAAAGGTCGATTTACACAATATATCACAATAGGAAAATGCGTACCAGTTTTATGTTTGGCCAAGTGTACAGGGTGTCCGAATTTGGATGGTTTTAATAGGAAACATCAATTTCTGAGCGAGATACAAAAAAATGAACCCCCCACTCCGAGGCTCAACTTTCTTGAAATTTTGATTGGTGCAAACCGCATTTTGATATCTTCAACCGTTTAGCCGCTAGAGGGCGATTCTCGATTTTGAGCAATACTGTGAAATCTTCATAACTTTTTTGTTTATGAAAATAACTGATTTCCGTAAAAACTTCCTAGAAGCACTTTTTCAAGCAGAATTCAGTGACGTTTTCAGTTTTTTTCTATTCGGCCTCGATTTCAAGATATTGACCAAAATACGATTTTTTTCAATGGGACACCCTATATATTAATAGTTCATTAGAAAGCTCTGCTTTTGCTGATTTCAATGATACAAATTTCGATAGGTTTATCTCTAACAGTTTTCGAGAAAAAAAATATTTCGGCTTTTGTCATAAGAAACAATGAGTTAGAAAGAGACCTTTCTCAGTTTCCTTACAGATATAAAGTCCTTTTCTTACACATTGCTTCTTATGACAAAAACCGAAATATTTTTTTTTCTCGAAAACTATTAGAGATAAACCTATCGAACTTTTATCATTGAAATCAGAAAAAACCGAGCTTTCTAATGAGCTATTAATATATAGAGTGTCCTAGTGAAAAAAACCAGACTTTGGTCAATATCTCGGAGTTGGGACCAACTAGAAAAAAACTGAGAACGTGACTGAATTCTGCTTTAAAAAGTGCTTCTAGAAAGTTTTTACAGAAATCAATAATTTTCATAAACAAAAAAGTTATGATGGTTTCACATTATTGCTCAAAATCGAGAATCGCCCTCTAGCGGCTAAACGGTTGAAGATATCGAAATGCGGTTTGCACCAATCAAAATTTCAAGAAATTTGAGCCTCGGAGTGGGGGGTTCATTTTTTTGTATCTTGCTCAGAAATTGATGTTTCCTATTAAAACCATCCAAATTCGGACACCCTGTACAATGTTTTATTGAAGAATCGAAACACACGAGCAGCATACAAGAAGTGGAAAAAACTAACAGGTAATTTTTGGGAATGAGTCTTCTTTAGAGCTGGATTTATAGAACGATTATTTCCTGATGTTTTGTGTTGACGTTATAAGAGAGTGAGTTATAAACCACCAGTGGGTTGTGTTTATCATTAAAAAATGCGTCGTGAATCATGGGGAAGGGGCCTTGTGAGCTAATGCCCCCACTAGTACTATCCCATTTCAGAGAGTCCCATAAGTTGAATTCCTTTCAAGAGTTTAGAACACCAAGAGTGCGTTCGAAATCACCCTGGGCGTCACACCGAGTGCACACCAGCCATGAAAAATTCATGGCTGGTGTGCACTTGGTGTGAGAGAGCTACTCGTTCCGTTGAAAGAAATTCAACTTATGGAACCCTCTGAACTGGGCCCTACTAGCAAGGGCACGAGCTCCACAAGGCCCCTTCCCCATAAAACGTCGAACGTCGGCGTCATGATGATTCACGATGCATTTTTTAATGATAGACAGCATCAACTGATGACGTAATAGGTCATAAATCCGTCGGTAGTTCTTATTTGGATCTAAGCAAGAATTGCCGACGGAATTTGTGAACTTCAACGACGTCAGTTCCAAAAAGTTTTTTTTAACGTATTTAAAGCACAAGGATGATACACACTACTACTACAAGATGGCTTATCCTCATAAGGCCTGTGTGTAACAAATCCCCCCTACCCCCCTACCCCCCCCCCAGGCCAAACAACCGGTTGTGACGTAAGCAGCATGGCGTTTCTCGCCTTGACGTCGGCTGACGACTTAGTTATGAAGTCGGCAATGGTTGAAAACAGTTGAAAACCAATATGGCGGCGATTACCAAAAACGAGGCCGATAAGCACTCCTTAGAGTGTGTATTCTCCTTGTTTAAAGCAGGGGAATTTCAGATGTTTTTGGTAAGAGACAAATAGACATTGACAACATTGTCTGTCCTTGTTTGATGACTTCACTCTAAATATAACTTAAAAAACCTATACTACAGGATAGCCTATCTTCATAAGGCCTGTGTGGAACAAATCGCCCCTCTTCCTCGTGCCAAATCACCATTTGTGTGACGTAGGCTGTTTAAACAGCTGACAACTTAGTTATGACGTCGAAATGGTGACACACGAATATGGCGGCGATAACCGAAAACGAGGCCGATAAGCAATCCTTTAGGTGTGTTTCATCCTTGAGTTCCAGCACCCTCTACAGGTACAACATGAAGTTAGCTGCTGGACCCTCGTAGTTACGTCACCACTACAGCCTCCTGTTATACGACACATCGAACTTTACACTATTAACGCTAGATGGTGCCACCGACCTAACCCACGTGACCCAGGTCGTCATCACAGAACCCAAATCATAGATCGAACTTTGCACTATGCACACTGACGTAACCCAGGTCGCTATGACGTCATCACAGCACACAAAACCCGAACCATAATTAAATATACGTAGTGATTTCTAATCGACATCATATAAAATAATCCCTTCCACGCAAACTCCATATTACAGGAACCTGTAATTTGGAACCCATTCTTGTCGATCAATTGCACAAATTCACGCCACTCTCGACAGATGGCGACATGACGTTTGACAGATTGAGCCATGACGCATCCACCTTTGTGTTAAGAATGCAAGAGGCGCATCCACCTTCGTGTCAAGAATGCAAGATTGAGGTTATGGTAAGGGGTTTTCATTCGGGCTTAATGGCCGTCGTAAGTTGGAATTTCTTCGTGATGTTTCGCTAGCACGCGTGGGTGGCATCTTCAGAAGTGCTTCCATGTCCGATTCTGGTAGCAGACTGATGCGTTACCGACCGCAGGTAAGGTGTATTTATGTGTGAGTGGCTGTGGAGGGGGAGGGGCGGGGCTTCGCGGCACGTGGCTAATCTCAACTTTCTCTGTACTCAATGGGATCTTCTTGCGTTTTTGAGGATCCGGATTTGGTTAAGTTTTAGTATTTCTTCTTTCCTTCCAACTTACGATGGACATTGAGCCCGAATGAAAACCCCTTATCAATAAACCTGGGCCGCGAAAGCCTCACAAACTTTATCAGACTCCTCTACGGGGAGGAGATCACTAAACAGTAACATCGACTAGACAAAGTTAGACGATGCAAGGCACACTTATTGGCGAATCTAATGTCACTCGCTGCCGTAACACTAACATCGTACCAGCGTTCTTGCAGATTAAGCCTTCCTTCAAAACACCCCGAACACATCGCATCTACGGCAAAACTGAAAAAGCATTTCTTTGAGAGCGAATCCACAAAACAAGGAAGGATCTGGCTGAAGTAAATAGAGAACTACTTCACCTACATCTGACGCTCAGCAGCAAAATACAGGCAAATGATTGGAACAAAATTGATACTCAAGTATGGATAATGAGCTAAACCGGAGTAAAAAAGCTCAGATTCGAAAATACGAGAAGTTCTGTAAGAAACAAATCCGAAATTTCCCAGCACCTGACATATCTAGACTGGTCATCAATCTCACGGATCGAGTCCTTACCGAAGAGGAAACAGCTGTCTTGGCAAAAAGGCGGTAATTTCGCAATCACTCCACAACACCTGCCGACGAAGGAGATTATAGCCAGCACTGAAGCAGTCATCAGAGCGCTACCTGATGTGGAAGCGGAAGAAATCCATATTGAGACGGCCAACATCCTACGAAAGGCTCGACCACCAACGAGTAACCTCTACTAAGAAGGAACTAATGGCAATTAGGAACCTGAATTCAGCGGAAGATATGACGCAACTGTCCTGTTAAGAACTGAAGACTACAATCGGAAAATTCAGAAACTCCTTGATCCATCTACCTCCCGAAAGCTAAAGAAGGATCTCACACAAGCGACACTCCGGAATACCAATAAACTGATTAGGTCATCTAACCTAACAGACACGGTTAAGAAAGGCATCATAAAAACAGTAGTTCCACCACGACTCTTCGGCCTACCTAAAATTCACAAACCAGAAGTCCCGCTAAGACCTATAGTGAGTGCACCTGAAGCACCAATGTACAACCTAGTGAAACATCTTGCATCGCTTTTTCAACCGCATGTAGGAAACGGACGGTGTAGCTATGGGAAGTCTGCTCAGCCCAGTCCTAGCCAACTTCTTTATGGAGGAATTCGAGAGGAAAGCTATAGAATCTGTTGACCACAAACCAACGGTATGGCTTCGATACGTAGATGATACTTTTGTGGTTTGGAGTCATGGGGAAGCGAAGCTTAACCAGTTCCTAGGCCACCTGAACAAGCAACATCCTAGCATATAATTTACCATGGAAAAGGAGGAAAACCAGGAAATCGCCTTCTTAGATGTGCTCATAAAGAAATCTGGAGGAAAACTAGGCCACACTTTGTACTGAAAACCTACACACACAGACAGGTACCTGCATGCACTCTCAAACCACCATCCAAGGCAAAAACGTGGAATTATAACAACGTTAACAGAACGTGCTCGGAACATCTGCGAGCCACAATATCTCGAGCAAGAACTGGATCTTCTCAAGTCGGCCTTTCTATCAAATGGTTACAATGCACCTGAGAACGACAGAGCCATGCGACCCAAAACTGCTACACGATAAAACGTGGATTAACAACCAGTGGTGGCTAATGCATATCTGCCTTCCATTTCTCGGGTGACAGACAGGATAGGGAAAGACTTGAAGAAACACAACATAAAAACAATCTTCAAGCCAACAAGGAAAATACAACAATCAATCAGATCAGCCAAGAATAAGAGGAACCCACTGTTAAGCGCTGGAGTCTATTGTATACCATGTGGTAAGGTATACATAGGAAGGACAAAAAGATCCATGGGAACGAGCACAAAAGAAACTGCAGACTAGGACAATCGGAAAAATCGGCAGTTGCGGAATATGCGCTTAGTGAAGGGAATCATGAAATACTCTTTGGTTAGGTCGAGCTTCTTGCACCGACTTCCGGACACCACAATCGTCTTGAACGTGAAGCTATAGAAATCCACAAACATACGGAGAACTTCAACAGGAAAGAAGAAACACTAAAACTTAACCAAATCTGGAACCCGATCCTCAAAAACGCAACAAAGATCCCATTGAGTAGAGAGAAAGTTGAGACTAGCCACGTGCCGCGAAGCCCCGCCCCTCCCCCACCACAGCCACTCGCACATAAATACAACTTACGGTCAGGAATGCGTTAGTCTGCTAGCAGAATCGGACATGGAAGGACCTCTGAAGATGCTAGCCACTTACGAAGCCCGAATGAAAACCCCTTATCAAGAAACCTGAGCCGCGAAAGCCTCACAAACTTTATCATTGAGGTTATGGTCGGATTTTCATAGTGAAACTCGCTTTGGTATACTACTGAAAACTAAAGGTGTAATTATTCACTTATTCTTCGTGGCTTTATCAACAATCTGAAAATGCAAAACAAATACAATTTGAATTCAAACCTCTACTAGAGCATTAATAGTTTATGAATTTCAATCAGAAGAAGTAGAAATACGAAGCAATTGGCACTGTAGGAACCTTTGCTGTAGGTAACTGCAGACCAAGCTAAAACAAGAAATTTAAATTAAATGGTAGTTCAACCATTCACTGAACAAGATCACAAAGTTACACTGAAGAAAGGAAAATATTGTTTGAAACGAATAGTATTGAAAAAAGAAAACTATTATGTTGCTTATTTAAGCTCAACTTATTGCCAAAAGAAATATGTATCATCCATGTTGCATTTGTCGAAGTTTAAGCTGAAGAAAAATGTCATGAAAATATGAACATTGAAACTCGATAATAATTTGGAAATCCATATAATTTAGTGTATTTAACAAACGGAATTGATATACAGAATCAAACATGAAGGAAGAAAATGAAAGGTAAAAAAAGAAAAGAAAATGGAAACCCTTTGATGGTATGACGATGATCTAGCCCAGGTGCTTCATTATTTCTTCCATCCACTATAAAAGCAAATGATTCCTGAACTTATAAAAACCCCTTATATAGAATTACTACATATTATTTTATGCATTTCAGCGGATAAGAAAATACATAGATTGATGAAAGAGAAGAGTCTTATAACACCAATACGTCTAGCTCGTAAAAAAGACAATACTTATAAAGTTTGCTCAGACTTCAGAATGCTCAAAAAGTCCATAAAGTGATAGTTTATCTAGATAACATTCATTCTGATTAGTGAAACATATTCGTCTCCTTGATAGGCAGACTACTTTCCCTTGAAAAATGTTAATTATGTCGGTCGCATCTATAATTTCTTGCTCTCGATGCAGCCATAAAATTTATGAATTAAAAAAAAAGTAAAATTCATTTCATAGAGTCACTCTACAGCTTGAAATTACCTGTACTTAACCTTTCGATTCAAAACCAGCTCTGAGAGCCCTTTCTGACTCAAAAGTTTTGTTTACGTTATTGCTTGCTCTCTTTCTCCTAGTTGAATCGCAACCTTTGGATTTTGCAGGGACTCGAGCGGAAGTGGAATTAGGCCGAATTTTAACGCGACGAGGGTGGAAGCGGACAACTTTTATTGTTACGACCAAGATTTATTGGAGCACAAGGTAAGCGGTTTTTTTTTTTAATTAGAATTTTTAATACCTATCGCCCACTGAAAATCATTAATTACGGGTCCTTTGGGATTTACCGCCCATTTCATGTAAGCGTCACATAAATCGAAATCCTTTAAATGCTGGCTGGAAGGGCTTGGGATAATTCGGTTTTAGTCTGACAAAAGGCTTAGCCGTGCCAACGAATAGAGATTAAATTACACTTATCTAAAAGTAGACAAAATTTTAATTAGATTCATTTAATAAAATCGCCAGGTTAAATGTAGATTAATGAACTTGGAATCAAACATTTTAATTATGCTATAAAGTTATATTATGGAACTAGGTCACTGTGCTTGTGATGTTCAATATTCCATACACGCTACATTAGTAATAAATTTCGTTAATCCTCCTGCAATGAAACTTTCCAGGTCTGACGAACGAGGATTATCCAGAAAGCATATCATCGAGAGCGTGAAAGCGAGCTTACACCGACTCCAGCTATCCTATATCGACGTCGTCATTGTCCACAAAGCCGATCCGATGTGTCCTATGGAGGGTAAGTCGGGATTTGCTTCATATATTTTTATTTTCGTTTGAGTCTGTTTTTGTTTGGAAAAATTGAAAGAAAGTCAGTCACTCGTATTTCACGCATGAAAAAAGACAATTTGTATTTTTTGTACAACTGAAAAATAAAGTGGGACTGGGGCAACATCAAAAGAAGTCGTATTTAATCGGGAAATAAATTGTGAGATATATTTGCCAAACGAAAAATATATAATTGGTAAAGCTTGTTGCCTGTTTCAATAACTTTCATCGGAAAAGCAAAGCCGAAGAGAAAACTTTATCTCCTTTGTTAAAAACTCCAAACAAAAGTCCAGCATCAACTTCGGGGTATTGTTGTCAACTGAAGTAATTTGTCTCTGAAGCTAGTGCAGCAAAAATAATGAGTTGCGGATATAAATTCGTCACTATTGCCTTGAAACTTGAAGATAATAGGTATATTATACACGGTTTTTATACATTTCGATGAAAAATAATTGAGAAAGAATCAATGAACAAGCAAATTTGTAAAGATATTTTTTGGCTTAAGACCTCAAATAAAACGAATTCCCCTCACAAAACAAACTGACGGCATTACAAAAAAAAAATCTTAATAAAGGAGCCTTCATGCATTTTAAAACATTTCCGTTTAAATTAATGCAACTTTGATCTTTCCATTGGATTTTATTTCGAAATGTTCAGTACTGAAGAAGAAAAAAATGTTCATTTCGTTGAAATGTTTAATTCCCCTTCGTTACGTCATAATTTTGCATAAATAGCGGAGAAAAGCTTAAAGTTTTTAACAAAGTAATTTGAGTTAAGGCTTACGAATACATTTTAGTTTATAGAAACTCTCATTGACTGAATTACTGTCCTGATTAATAAAAGTTTATTAAAGCATGAATGTAAGCGAGTAAAAAATTCAAAATTCCATTTGAACCTGAGATCTACAGTAGAACCCCGATTATCCGAGTCGCAATTATCCGAGCTCTGGATTAAGCGAGCCAGTCTAAAGACCCAAAAATCCTGATTATCCGAGGTACGCACGTCCATACTCCGTATTAACCGAGTTTCTAGAATATACAGAGTGTTTTTTTATACATTGACACCCCACCTATGGCCTTTACCTTTACAGGTAGAAGAAAGGTGTAAATACAAAAGTTGTACAATTTTAGCTGAATTTTTAGAATCCATAGTCAGAAACAAAATTTGAATGTCGGAAATGTGAAATTTTGCATGCTTCCAGCTTTTTTCAAATGGGATGTCCTATATTTCATTCTATATTATAGTTTTGGAATCGGGAAATTGTGCTCTTCAAGAATATAGAACCAAATATAGGGCATCCCATTTGAAAAAAATCTGAAAGCATGCAACATTTCACATTTCTCACATTCAATTTTTGTTTCTGACCATGGATTCTAAAAATTTAGCCAATACTGTACAACTTTTGTATTTACACCTTTCATCTACTTTTAATGGTGAAGGCTGTAGGTGGGGTGTCAATATATAAAAAAAAACACCCTGTACTTGAACAACGACTTATTATAGAAAGTCAGAATTTATAAAATTATCCACTTTTTGTCAATTTGCCTTTTAACAGGAATTAGTAATGCTACTTTAGCAAACTAGTAATTTAATGTGACAAGTTATTAGTTATTCAAGTACAAACTATGGATTGTTGCGGAACTTATGGGTGGACTCAGTCATTTATTCACCAATATGTTGTGTAATAATTACAATACTGTCGCGAAACGTCTCTGGTTCGCTGTGTAGCTCGACTATTCACCCTGAAAAGCAGAACGGGAAGGAAGGAGTAATCAGGGAAACACCAGAACAGTTTTAAATAGCTAATATATATTGTTACAGGACGGAGATTACGGAAACTTGAATATTTAGTTATTACCACATCATCGTCATCTGGGACCAGATAACGTCCCTTCGGGTGGTGAGGCTAAACAAAGGGCGGACAGTCAAACGTCGGGTATACCCCTGCAAAGCTAAATAACCAAACCAGCCCTACAGGAAAATCTAAAAAGCCTTTTCACTGTAGGTCAAAGCCTGGGTCGCCAGGGAGTACCTGCCCTCATAGAGATACGATAGCGTATTAACTTTATCAGTCCAGATAGTTCCCCAACTTTGAGTCGTCTCTTAACACCTACTGATTGCAGCGAAGCGCTGAGACACGACTAATTTGCCATAGTTTGGCCCGGGCTTTTATATCCAATATTTGCTGACTATGATTAGGATAATTTGTGTTTTCTTGCTTAGTTGCAGTTATTTGTTATAACCCGTGGTTTAGTGTTTTGAATTTGGTTATAGCCCGTGGTCCCATGTAGGGTTGACAATACTAACCTGACTCACTCAAATGTGAGTTATTCTCATTAGTTTAAAAACTACATGTTTCAGGTGAATGTCTTACTTGAACAGTTCAACAGTATATTGGTGAGTAGATGGCTGCGGAACTCGCTGCGCTCGTCCCGCAGAGGTCCACCCATAAGTTCCGCAATAATCCACTTATTTGTACTTGAATAATAACTTATTATATAAAATCAGAATTTGTAAGATTATCCACTTTTTGTCAATTTGACTTTCGACAGGAATTAGTAATGTTACTTTACCAAACTAGTAATAATATAATGTGACAAGTTATTCAAGTACAAACGAGTGGATTGTTGCGGAACTTATGGGTGGACTCAGCCATTTATTCACCAATATGTTGTGTAATTACGATACTAACCTGACTCACTCAAATGTGAGTAATTCTCATTAGTTTAAAAAATATACGTTTCAGGTGAGTATCTTATTTGAACAGTTCAACAGTATATTGGTAAGTAGATTGCTGCGGAACTCGCTGCGTTCGTCCCGCAGAAGTCCACCCATAAGTTCCGCAATAATCCACTTATTTGTACTTGAACAATAACTTATTATATAAAGTGAAAATTTGTAAGATTATGATTATTCACTTTTTGTCAATTTGTCTATTAACAGGAATTAGTAATGTTACTTTACCAAACTAGTAATATAATGTGACAAGTTATTCAAGTACAAACAAGTGGATTGTTGTGGAACTTATGGGTGGACTCAGCCAACCAACATGTTGTTCAAGTACAATACTTACCTGATTCACTCAGAATTTTTCTCATCAGTTCAAAAACTACACGTTTCAGGTGAGTGTCTTCAACGACGTAGCTATAGCTTTTACATGGGCGGGTGTTAGAGCCAGTGTTGCCAGATCTCACGATTAGTCGTAAGATTAAACGATTATCGTCAGAATTTCACGATCACACGAATGAGGAAGCAATTCTCACGAATTCTCTCTGTAGTAGTACAAAACAGTAAATAAATGAAATGTTTAATCGACATAAAAATCCACTATACAATATTTAGTTATGTTACGCCGCTCCTGGTACATGCGCGCCTAAGGACATTATTAAGAGTTGGGTTCGGTATAATTGCTTCTGCAAAAAGAGCAAATTTGACGAACGCCACGTGATCACTTATCTTTTTTCACGTGTCAAATCACGTGACATCTGTCAAAATTTGTTCTTTTTGCTCGCAGATGCAATTGCCGAACCCAGCCTAGGGCTGCTTATTGAGTTGAAAGTGTGGAAGTGTCTGCCATGTCAGTCTCAGACCTCAACTTTTGGCGTAAATTGCAGTATCCGAATTCTTAAACGTTAAAATCACCTTTTCTACGTGACGTCACTCGCAGACCAGCTGCCGAGTCGAGAATTGGCGAACGTACGCCTTATGAGCATTCCTGCGGATAATGAAGTTAGTAAAAACGAGACTCCTTCCAGAAACATCTAAACGCTAAAAAAAAAGAAAATACAAGGATACGAGAGATTTAATAATAAAATGTTTATGAATGTATAATCATGTTTACCTACTTCTCTTCATCTATAAAACAACATTGCTGTGCTTATTTTCTTATAATATTAAAGGAATTTTTAGTCTCACGATTTTTTTTTCTCGATTTTCACGTTTTTTTTTTAAATTTCATCTGGCAATGCTGTTTAGAGCAGTGGCAGCTCGTGGTCTATGCTGGAAGGGGTTTCAATTTAAAACCAGACGATGTATAGGTAACCTGGCATAGCATAGCCGCCAAAGCATATCGTCGAAAAAAGTTTATTTTTCTTGAAAAATATAATTTATCCACTTCAATGGGGGCGGGGGGGGGGGGGGGGGTTGAACCCCCAAACCCCCCCGTTATATACGTTCTTGAGTGTCTTATTTGAACAGTTCAACAGTATATTGATGAGTATATGGCTGCGGAACTCGCTGTGCTCGTCCCGCAGAGGTAATAGGAATTAGTAATGTTACTTTACCAAACTAATAATATAATGTGACAAGTTATTCAAGTACAAACGAGTGGATTGTTGCGGAACTTATATTATAGGTGGACTCAGCCATCTATTCACCAATATGTTGTTCAAGTACAATACCTACCTGATTCATTCATTTGTGAATTTTTCTCATTAGTTCAAAAACTACACGTTTCAGGTGAGTGTCTTATTTGAACAGTTCAACAGTATATTGGTGAGTAGATGGCTGCGGAACTCGCTGCGCTCGTCCCGCAGAGGTCCATCCATAAGTTCCGTAATAATCCACTTATTTGTACAGGGTGTTTTTTTATATATTAACACCCCACATACAGCCTTTACCTTCACAGGTAGGTAGAAGAAAGGTATAAATACAAAAGTTGTACAGTTTTGGTTGAATTTTTAGAAACCATGGTCAGAAACAAAATTTGAATGTCAGAAATGTGAAATTTTGCATGCTTCTAGTTTTTTTCAAATGGAATTCCTTATATATATTTCATTCTATATTCTTGAAGAGCACAATGCCCCGATCTATATTTGATTGAGCAATCTCTCATATATTTGGCTCCAAAAATTGTAAAAATACTATCCTACTACTGATTTTATGAACCATTCTACCTGTACAGTGTACAGGTGAGAGCTGCAGGTAAAATTTGAGGTACTTGGTTTCTCTGATGGTATTTTTAAAATTTTTAGAACCAAATATGTTGGAGACGGCTCAACCAAATACAGACAAACTATATAGTTGGAATCGGGAAATTGTGCTCTTTAAGAATATAGAACCAAATATTGCGCATTCCATTTGAAAAAAGCTGCAAGCATGCAAAATTTTACATTTCTGACATTCAATTTTCGTTTCTGACCATGGATTCTAAAAATTTAGCCAAAACTGTACAACTTTTGTATTTACAGCTTTCCTCCACCTGTAAAGGCTGTCAATATATAAAAAAAAAAACTGTAAATACATACAACTTCAACCTTCTAGGCGGGGTAGGATCAACCCTCACTATTTCAAATGAAATAAGGGGTCGAGTGATACCTCTTTCAAAAGAGTGTTCAATTCTCTTTTATTTGATGTCATTTGAAAGAAAATTGAGCGCTCTTTTAAAACATCAGGTATCACTCGAATCCCTGTTCCATTTGGAATGGTAAGGGTTGGTCTCTCCCCCGCTAGAGGGTTAAGTTAATGCTGAAAATGTTTCAAACACTCACACAATCAAATTACGTATACGAACGATTTAAAAAAATAAATAAAAGTGACATCAGGTATTTAGATTGTTTCGTTTTAAATGGTATACCCTGTTTACATATAAGGTATCTGACCCAAATAAGGTCATGTACCTAATAAGGCCAGTGCCCTTTATTGCTTGATATTGAATCCCATTTTCAAAAATTACAATATTATTGAAAAAGAAATTTATATTGCAAATCAAAAATTATTGCAAGGGTTTCTAGCAACTCGTTATATGTCGAAAAATAGCCAACCACATATTTCATATGTCACGTTATAACTTTGAGGCTGGAACTTAATTAGTTTATACACATGTTTATAAAGTGAATGGAGCGAATGCAATTTTTACACGGACATTTATGTATTGAGAAAGCTACAGAGTAAGTACAGAATAATATCTTTGCTAGATTTCTAGTTACAGATTTTTTTTATCAATTTAACATGTTCCTAATAAGGCCATCATACGAAAAATGTTCAATTGGCTTCACATCATGGTGTTTTTTCCAAAAAATGTGTCATTTTATTACCTAAGTGATGTTTTTTGACATGCCTGTAATCTAACCAAGCAAGAGATACTGTGGTTCATTTGTACTAGTTGTATGTAGACCAATTTGGATCACCATCCTAGGACTTGGAATTATTGGTTTTTTGGGAATGCAGCAAACGTATAAGCTCTATTTTGTGTACTATTTCTCAAATAATATTTTTATAAATAATTGTATTTCTTTTAAACATTTTTTAATGGTGGCCTTATAAGGAGCATAGTGATCCAAATAAGGCCAATGGTAGGCGTCTTTGTTTCACGCAAAAATCACCACTTATATATGAAAATAAATAAATTGAAGTTAATATTCAAGTAATAGAAGCGAAACACATCACATATAAATTCGTGATTTTTGTTGGGTTTAGTGGATAATGTCAGGAAAAAATTAAACTTTTTAACGTGGCCTTATTTGGGACAGGTACATATGTATTCAGATTATCCGAGTTTTCAGTTATCCGGGGTGTGTACCCCTCACGTTACCTCGGATAACCGGGGTTCTGCTGTACTTGCGGTTTGTTCTGTTTGATAAAAAGACCCTACTCAATAGATCCTGAGAGTTTGAAGTCCCTCTGATTGCTTAAAATATTTTTTAGAAGCTTCCAAAAGTGATTCAATAGGAATATATCATGATTTTTTTGCATTCCATTGATTCCATTATTTCCATTTCCGAGCCTGAGATTCATTCGCGGTTTGTTTTGTTTGATAAAAATACCCTACTTAATAAATCCTGAAAGTTTGAAGTCCCTCTGATTGCTTGAAGTACCCACTTTAACAAAGTGCAATTCCAAGATAAATTAAAAAAAATTATACATTTTTGTAAAGTAGAAAAATCAGGCTTTCTGACGATGACAAAATATATAGGGAGCTTCTGTTGTGAATGTATCAGTTTATCTAAGGACACCCTGTACAAAAATTCTTGCTCAATAAATGTCTTAATTTTCAGAAGTCGTCCGTGCAATGAACTACGTCATCAACCAAGGATGGGTGATGTACTGGGGCACTGCCCGCTGGTCGCCAGTCGAAATAATGGAAGCCTACACCAACTGTAGACAATTCAATTGCGTAACTCCAATAGTCGAACAAGCCGAATATCACTTATTTTGTAGAGAGAAAACCGAACTTTACATGCCGGAGTTGTATAATAAAATCGGTGTAGGTAAGTTCGAGAAATTGTCCATATTGAAAACTGACAACAACTATAGATATACATTTCCAGGTTTGATGGCATGGTCTCCAATTTCCATGGGTTTGTCGCAAGGCAAAGACGACAGTAGCATCCAGCTCTTCTCGCGTGCTAGCTTCAGAAATAAATACAGCTCCTTTTCGTGGACCGAAGATGAAACTGTTGCAGCCAATAAAGAAGTAAGTGCTCGTATCTCCACTATTGCAATTGATTCAATTATTTGTAGGGTTACGGTTGGATGAAGGAACGAATTCAGCCCGAAGAAACGCGAAGGCACGCCGAAAGGATCAGAGAACTGAACGGTTTGGCAGAAAGACTGGGATGTTCTCTTACTCAGCTCACGATCGCTTGGAATTTGAAAAACGAATCGGTGCAATGTTTACTTTTAGGTGCTAGTAACGTCGATCAATTGTACGAAAGTATTCAGGCCTTACAGCTGATACCCAAGCTTAATACGAACATGGTTCAAGATATAGAGAAAATCTTAGAAAATAAACCTAGCCGACCTCCTATGGTTTCAACTTTGGCGCTTAGATGACAATCAATGTGCCCTCCTGGCTCAATCAGGTAAAAATTTAGTGAATCCCCCCTGCAGTCTAAACATCCATTTCCATACTGACTCATGACAACCTCAGAGCCCTGATAACAGACCCATCAACCTCTTTTGACTTCCCTTCAGTTCAGTGTTGTGTGTACTCTGACACCCCAACTTTGAGACTAGCAAATCATCGAAAAGGAAAAACCCAATGGTAAAGTAAAATTTAAAAACCCTTGTTACAATTCGGGCTTCTAGTTGAACAAAACGTGCTCTCTTTTCGCATCGACAATTCAACAAAATGGCGTAGACTTCTGTCTCCAGAAAATTCTGAGTGATTGGCTTACAAATACAGGGACTTACGACCAAATCCAAGTTTTCACCCCAAAACCAATTAAGCCAGCTAACACTTGTATTTTTAATGCCTCTAAAATGCCACAAAAGGTGGATGTTCCAAGAAACGTAGGAAAGAGGACCGCTGGTAAAATCAGCCAACTACTTTTTGCTTGCTCAACGTGCGCATTTAAAGAGAACGACCCTATTTTAGCCATTTACCAGGTGGGCTCATATAAGAAATTTACCAGAATTCCATTTTTTTCCAAGATGCTCTCTGGTGCCAGATTTTCGGTCTTGACCAGGAAAACGAAACAAACAGCTTGAAACGAACAACCCAAACCACATTGATGACCAACAAAATTCAAAGTTGTTATCTAATTTTCTCCCCTAACACTAATTAATTAATTAGTAATCATCATCTACCCAGTCTTTAGTCTAAAAACTATCAAAATGACCACTCGTTCAGTGGAAGCCACTCAGTGACTCTATTACCCACAGTGGTCAAGAAACCTCGGCAACAGCGCTGCCTGAAACGGATCAACAAGTTTCCCATAACCACACTTATTCCGCGAAAATAAATAACCAAGAAAATGTAAATATGAGTGCAAATAAGGGTGAAAAAGCGATTTAAAGGGTGTGAAAGTGATTTGTGGTGTTGCAGAATTTTTAATAATGGAAAATACGAGACTCGTAAGTGTTGCCGATTGAACATTTCCATCAACAGTTAGGGCTTTTTAGACAACTTTCGTAAGCTAAATAAAATAGATTTCGATCCTATTAGTAGGGCTTTATTATCCTAAAACTACCCTGTCAGTAACTCAGTATTACCCCGAAAAATATACCTTTATTCAACACCCACATATTGTTTCGCATTCAATCAAAAAGGTAGAAATCTAGTAAAAGCCAATGAGAAACCTATTAATCACCGAAAAATATTAATCCTCAGGTTGAAAGCTTCATAAATACCCTCACAAATACCCGAATTAATTACCGAATTCATTCGAAATCAGTTGCGTACTAAGGCAAAATTTGAACGTAACAATTTCTTAATCTGTGGTGTGAAGGTACTCCAGAAGACTGAGCCCTTTCCGGACTCCGGTGCGTGGTGGTGCTGCTCCACAACACCAGGGTGTGCGTTGGCATCGCATCTGACAATCAACGGAAGGCCCAGTGAGTTACAGTACTCCACCAAATCAATGAACTCCCGTGTTGGGGGATCATCTGTTGAGTCATAGGGCAGATAGGCCGAGCAAACTACTATCGATCTGCTCTGTCCCAGTCTATCCTGGAGGCATAGCTTTACCGTTACTAGGTCTCTAGAGCACAAGTTAGCAATCAGAGTTAACTCGATACATCTGTCGACATAGATGCAAGTCCTTGGGTTCAGTTGGAAGTCCCTTTTTTTATAGAAAGGAGATCTTTCCACTCTACCTAATCCTCGCGACTCTTGTAGGCCCAAGGTTCTTGTAGGAGGTATATGAATCCTCTCACTTCGTTCTGAGTATCCCCACTTTGGCAAAGTTTTCTTCGATTAATCATCTCCTTTGTGGTCTATCTACTTTCTTCTTGAGATCCTATTTAGGTAGGTACTTCAATCACTTGACATCAGAGCTTCTTTTCTCAATGTTTTTTCACTTAATTTATAGTATTTTGGAGTGAATCTCATTGTTATTCAAATTAATGAGTTCTTTTTTGGTATATTTTAGTGGTCAGGGTGGCACAAGTAACGCCGAAAGCCCCAAAGACGACGTAAGCAACGCGGACACCGACACCAAGGACAGCCAGAAGTTGCCGTTTTGCGAGATTCAGTGACAAAAGGTTAGCGAGTTTGTGAAAACTCGTAAAAGCAAAACTCCCGACGAGAAACCCGTGAAGGAAAAAGTGAAATGGTCGTACAGTCCCGAGGAAGGTCCCAAGTGCACCACCGAACCGTTCGTTTCAAAGAAGAAAGATAAAAAAGCTGTGACACCGGTGAATGTATGAAAGTGGAAAGAAAATGGTGATTGTGGTGATTTAAACGATGATATTGGAGAAGTGCTTATTTAAATGGCGAAATTTAAATATTGTTTCAACAAACCAATGATGATTTTTTTTGATAAGTTTAATGTAATTATTCACAAATACGATTTTGTTCAATTGATACATCGGTTTAAGAAGTAGGTATCGATTTCTTCATGTAGGTATCGAATTGAAATTATCAATATTTTCCCTATTATCGTCGTTATATCTACTAATTCAAAAATCACTCTGAGACATCGAAACATGTGCATCAAGATACTTTTTTTGGTGAAAAAGTCAATTTTTGAACTAATCGTACTGAAGCATGAAACATCCCCATTAGATATATAGGGAAATTATGTATTATATTATATACAAATCAAAATCTACTGAGCATTAAAAGTTATCGTTGGTTTCATGACATCAATTAACATGTATTCGATTCTAGAGTATTCGTTCAAATTTGTATTTATTAACGAATCAAAAACAAGCTGTGACTTTATTAGGAATGTAGTTTCTAGAGTTTAAACCACCCATTTCAATTTGTTATTTACTATAGTCAAACCTACGAATACTCTCCCATGAAGTGAGTAAACAATAATGGAAAATTTGGAACTTTTTTGAGTGCGAATTTGTACTTTTTTGTATGTACCTTTCGCTAGAAGGTGAAATTTGGTAGAATGTAAGCTTATTTATATAGGGAAAAAGTTTTAAAATTAGGGCAAAATTTTAATTCAATTCTATAGTTGGTACAATTTTCAATTTTTTGCCCAGAAAGCTTGAAATAAAAGCAATTTAAATAAACATTTTATTTATCAAAAAATAGAAAAACGCACAAATTTCAATTATTATACAGGGTGTCCCATAAGTCACGGTCCAAACTGAACGGGGTGATTCTTTGGTTTATTTTATGAATAAAATTTTTAATAAACTATGTCCGCAACCGCTTTGTTACCGATCTACAGGGTGTTGAAATTTCAATATTTTTTTAGTTTTTTCTATATAGCTCCTGCAATTTTTGAGGGATTAAGCTGAAATTTGGAATATAGGTGACACAAGAGGAGCTAAATGATTTCACATTTCAAACGTTTGCCGGAATTCACAGGGTGATGTTTTTCCAGGGGTCATATGCCCTTTGTAAGCCCTTTTCTGCCCCTGAACTTTTTTGCGGTGCGCCGCTGGTAGATCCTAAAGAAATGAATGACTTTTCTACCCATTTTAGAAACTTTTTGTTCTCTTATAGTTTTTCCGAATTACCGATCCTTAATTAGCTAGATGAAACTACAGTGACTCAATATACCTTTTCTACCTACAGTGGTGACAATAGAAGTCCCGCCGCCATATTCTTGATCATTTTCAGTAGGAATCTAGAAGTAAGCCACGCCCTTGCCGCCATATTCTTGCTCATTTTCAATATGAATACATTAAAATTTCATCACCCTGTAGATCTGTAACGAAGCGTTTGCAGACCTATGTTTATTTGAAATTTTAGTTATAAAATAATCCAAAGAATCACCCCTTTCAGTTTGGACCGTGACTTATTGTACACCCTGTATAATTTAATTAAAATATATAAAAAGCAATACCTACTTACGTTTTTGCCCTAAATTAAACCATAAATTACATAAATAATAATAATTATTATTAGGTACTTCCAATTTTAAGAAAACCGAGTTGCCTCGAAAAGGTTTTGGATGCAATTGTGCAAAATAGTTTTAGATAGAAAACTTAAATAAAACTTTTATTATTATTATTACCTTCTATAGTATTTTAGAAACTCTTGCCAATATTTAGAAGAATATATGGCATTAGGATTTTTGCACAACTTCTAGTGAGATTAGTTACATATATTATTAAAAGAGCAGAAAGATGTGAAAATGAACTAATAGGCAGCCAATTTCTGTCTAAAAACTGCCACAAATACAAAAAAAAAACTCTTCATGCTCTTTACCTTTTAATAATTATTCAATTTGAATTTTGTACTTTCAAGTAGAGGCTTGAAAATTGCTTCCTGAATCTAATAGATTTATATCTAATCGAATAAAATTAGAGCAAAACAACGCCATATTAATTAATATTACTCATTCTATATAAAATTGTTTTAAATTAAAACTTAAAAGCGAAAATTAATATTGTATATAAATAACGAAAACATTTTTACTACGACGTGATGTATATAGAGTCTAAAATCAATCATAAAACAAAATTGTTGATTTTTCCAGTTTTTTTGAACACAATTTTTCAATATTCAATGTCCATTATTGCCATTTCTCATTATGGTGACAAAAATGTTTGTTTTCTCTATTTTTTTCTAACTCATTCAGCACCAAGGCGGACATCGGTATCCGATAGTTCCATCAGGCCACAGCGGTCACCAGGCGGACACCGCTTACCCATTATCATTGGCCAGCGAACTTATATAAATATTAATGACCCACCTACCAGAGCTGTCAATATTTGAAGTAAATTATTTGGAATTCTACTTCTAGTACATAGGTACAAGGTGAGTCACTATATTTTGACACCCACCTGCAGCCGTAATTACAGGTGATAGGTAAAAGGTGTAAATACAAAAGTTATACAGACAGCTGTATGCAACATCCTCTTTTAACTTAAAAGCGCTTTTTGAAACTGGTCTCTTTTAAAAATGTGTATTCTAAGCCATACAAATTTTTAAAGGTACCAGTTTTAAAAAGCGCTTTTAAGTTAAAAGAGGATATTGCATACAGCTGATAGAATTTTATCTGACCGCAATAATTTTTAATTAGATTGAACAAATGAGCAACGCAAAGTAGAAAAATATGTCGATGTACACTTTTTTCAAATGGAATGCACTTTATTTTTGTTTTAGATTATATTTCACTGATTATTCCACTCATGTGTTAGAAATCCCATAAGACAAGTGACGATTTTCAGAATTACAGCGAAAATTCTCTCTTCCATTTGTTTAACTAGAGAGAATTACAGCGAAAATTCTCCCATGTTATTGTATACATGGTTGTCATGCTAATTTTTGATACAAACAAACGGTTCCTGATAGCAACCATTTATTTGTATTGATTGCTAAGATGTTCAAATCGTTTAATACATATTTATTTCCATATTTTTTTGCATTCTCATACGTGAAATAATCCTCTAAATACCACTTGAGCTTTAAAATGAACCAGATAATTTTTCACTCATGCGTTTTTTTTTCTGCAAATTTCACTCGTCCTACGGACTCGTGAAATTATAGAAAACACGCAATCATGAAAAATTATCGGTAATTTTGAAGCTCTCGTGGTATTATCCCCGAAAATACTTTAACTTTTTATTGGTTTTTATTAATTTTCTTGAGTTGACAAAATATGACAACTAGTGCCAACCTCTCTATTTTGTTACTCCTATAACAACCATCATGACCAACTAAACTAAACTAGAAAGGGAATGTCGCCAACTTAAGTTATACAATACCTACTAAAATATACTTCAAGTAATGTCCCTTTACTTGAAGCTCAATGTTTTTACTTGAAATGAATTACTTGATGAAATTCAAGTACTTAAATTTCAAGTTTACTTGATAATCAAAGTATAATTTTTCAAAACTTGTACTTGTACTTCAAGTAAATCTATTGAATATATTTACTTCATACTTGTACTTCAAGTACTTTCGTCGCGTAGTTTTGCCGGCTCTGCTACCTACTCTAGGGGCCAGGGCGGATACACTATTATATACACTTTTTTACCGGGTGTCCGCTGATTATTTTGTGTCCGCTATGGCCTGAGAAGTTATCCAATTTGTGTCCGCTTATTCAATGAAATTGGCTTGGCGCTGAACGTGTTTTAAAGGATTGTAAATGTTTCACAAAAATAAAATATATTTGATCTGAGATCAATTTCTATGCAGAGTGTTCCTAAATATCATGCACAAACGAATGAGGGTGATTCTTTGGTTTATTTTATGACTAAAATTTCTAATAAACATAGGTCCGCAAACGCTTCGTTACCGATCTACAGAATGTTGAATATTTTTTTAGTTTTTTCTTTATAGCTCCTGAAATTTTTGAGGGATTTAGCTCAAATTTGGAATGTAGGTTACGCAATAAGAGCTGAATGATTGCACTAGTCAAACGTTTGCCAGAATCTACAGGGTGATGTTTTTTCAGGGGTCATGCCCCCTTTTCTTCCCCTGAACTTTTTTGCGGTGCGCCACTGGTCGATTCTAAGAAATAAAATAATTTTTCTACCTTATTTATAAACTTTTTGTTCTCTTGAAGTTTTTTCGTATCACCGACCCTTATCGAGAAATAAATTAAAAAGCAAATCTCTGTAGTTAGCTAGATAAAACTAGAGTGACTTCATAAACCTTATTGTCTACCCACAGTGGCGAAAATAGGGGTCCCGCAACCACTCTTACTCATTTTCAATAGAAATCTAGAGGTAAGACAGCCCTCGCCGCCACATTCTTGCTCATTTTCAATATGAATACATTAAAATTTCAACACCCTGTAGATCGGTAACGAAGCGTTTGCGGACCTATGTTTATTAGAAATTTTAGTCATAAAATAAACCAAAGAGTCACCCCCTTCCATTTGTACATTATATTTAGGAACACCCTGTATAACCTACTCAGAACATATAAAATATAAAAATCGAATTGAAACTTTCACATTGTATATATTTAAAAAAAATGTAATTTTAATCAAACAATGTAATTATTGTTTATTTTCTTTTTCGTACTTTAATTCAGAATATATAATGCCTTAATACTGTTAAGTAATACTTCAGTGAAACATTCTCGATCTAAATTTATATTTTGTTCTCATAATTATAATTTAGTTTTTAAATGTTTGGAAACAAATTATATACAATGTTTTATATATTTGTTAGCTCATTTTAGATGGTAGATAATTAAAATATTCGTTATCTATTTCTTGATTCTATTTTCCTAACGAATCTAGTTTTTAAAAAAAATCGTTGTAAAATTCTTGTTTTAAGAACGTATAATTAACAATATAAAGTGAAATAAAATTGGAAAAATAATATATAAAATATATACTTAATTTTCTTTCTGAAAACAAACTAATAATATTTTTTTGGTATATAATCGGGATTATTAAACTTATCTACTCTCAGAATAACATATCACTTCGACTAAAAAATTAATAGCAATAATTAAAATTTGTTAAAAAAATTTCTTGTTGATAATGCTCATTGTTATTACACTTAGGATTATTTATTATGACGAATTGTTATTGCTTTAAATTTTAAGTACCTACCTATTTATATAAGTATATATTATTTTAGGTTATTTCTTCAAAATCATAATACAATTTTTTTATTATTTTTGTTGATACTCACCTACTAACCCAAACCACAGAAACTAACCCTTTGATGGTTTTTCAATTAAACATTATATAGATTAAATTAGCTGCAATATTAGCTAAATTAATCTATAATACTTATTATATAGCTGTAAGATATACAGTTAAATATCCCGATTTATTGTTGTTTTTTTCATAATTTTCCTGATCAACGGAATATATGTAGTGAGGTGATTATCATAATATAAAAAATATTTTCACGGCTCTGGGGTGCGTGACAATAATCTTGGGCTATTCCAAAATCAAAGTCCAATTAACACAACAATAATTAGGTCAAAATTATGAAGGTGAATGCAAAATTATAAAATATCTCATGATTGGATTATTTTCTGACTTTCCACTAAAAACTGCTTCTGACTTTTCTTTAATTCCACTCATTTTGTCTGTAAGTTTAAAGTTTCCAATTCCCAGAAATTGATTTGATTTTACCATCATATTATATAGGCCAAGCAATGAAGGAAGTTTAATAACATATTAAGTTTGCGACCTTGTACTTCCATAGGGTTTTAAGTTAGGGGTGGTTTTTAGGGGTAAATTACGGTTTATGGAGAACGCTGCTCAAAGGGATGGTCCAATAGCAAAAAGTTTCAAATGATTGTTGTAGCTGAAGTTTTTTGCTTTAAAAAACTCACCGGCAGCACCCTTCTATCTTCTATAGTTTTTTTTCTGCAGGGTCTTGAATACTAGCATGTTTTTATTCAAGGTCGCTGAATCAACGTTTCACCTGTTCACGCGCATTTGATGCAACAGCGGCCAAATGCATAATCCGATTTCAATTTTTCAAACACCACATTATTGCTAATGAAATGCACTCTCTTTTGTTCGAATTTTTTGCTTGGAAATTAAGCAAGCACAGACTTGCCTAATGTAAGCGGAAGTTGTAAATTGCATCGAAAACTACCCCATTCTTGCATTCACTGTCATTTCTAAACGGAGCCAAATATTTGGTGACAGTTTTCGACAATCGGCAACCCATTTATTCCTCTCATAATGCTCCAGCGGATTTTTTTTTTCGTTAATTACTCAATGACTTATTGGCCTGAACAGGTCGCGCGGAATTTTTCAAAAAGTCAAAAAAATTAAAATTGTCGCACAGCGCTGAAATGTGGTACGATGGCTTTAGGTATTTATTGTTTTTTTGAATATACTGCAATTTTAACTGCTTCACATGACTGCTGCAACAATTAGAATTGCAGAATATTCATGAGAACAATCAATAAAGCCATCGTACCAAATTTCAGCGCTGTGCGACAATTTTAAATTTTTTTGATTTTTTGAAAAATTCCGCGCGACGTGTTCAGGCCAATAAATCATCTATCTATTCAGCCTTCTTCAGTCCATCTTTAGACGTAGGCCTCCCCCAGTCTTCTCCATTCTTCTCTGTCTGTTGCCATGTTTATCCACCTGGTTCCAGCGTGCTTCTTCAGGTCATCAGCATACCTCATCTGGTGGGGTCTTCCTCTACTTCTTTTATTCTCCCAAGGTCTCCAGCTTAAGATACATTTATTCCATCGGTCGTCTTTTTGTCTGATATTGTGACCTGCGAATTTCCATTTTAATTTTGCTACCAATCATTGAGTAATTAACGAAAAAAAAAATCCGCTGGGGCAATATGAGAGGAATAAATGGGCTGCCGATTGTCGAAAACTGTCACCAAATATTTGGCCCCGTTTAGAAATTACAGTGAATTCAAGAAAGGGGTAGTTTCCGATGCAATTTACAACTTCCTCGCACCTTAGGCAAGTCCATGCTCGCTTAATTTTCAAGCAAAAAATTCGAACAAAAAAGCATTGGAGAGTGTATTTCATAAGCAATAATGTGGTGTTTGAAAAGTTGAAATCGGATTATGCATTTGGCCGCTGCTGCATCAAATGCGTGTAAACAGGTGAAACGTTGATTCAGTGACCTTGAATAAAAACATGCTAGTATTCAAGACGCTGCAGAAAAAAAACTATAGAAGATAAAAGGGTGGTGTCGCTGAGTTTTTTTATAGCAAAAAGCTTCAGCTACAACAATCATTTGAAACTTTTTGCTATTGGACCATCCCTTTGAGCAGCGTTCTCCATAAACCGCAAATTTTCCCCTAAAAACCACCCCTAACTAAAAATCCTATGGAAGTACAAGGTCGCAAACTTAATATGTTATTAGGCACATGAAAATGAACCGATTCCCCCCAAAAAATGTTAACTTCTAATTATGTTGAGGTAAACCCTCTTTTCAGATCCCCGTTTCTTGGACTAATACATAATAATGTTTTATTGGAAAATATCAATACAAAATTTATATTCCTCTGCAGCAAAATTTCCGTTGATCAATAATAATTATTATTCAGTTTTATTTTAATTAATAAAGGTCAAACCGCACACGATGTAAATACCCTAGAATTATATGGAACCTAAACTAAAAACCCACACCAGTTTATTGTTACATAATTTTTAATCAGTTACAATTTTTTCAACTATTCTATATATTGTAAAATTCCAAAAATAATGAATTTTAAAAATCGACGATAACCCGCGAGTGTATTTGAATAAATATTGTAGATATTTTCTTGATAAAAAAAATGCTACTTATTAATATTTAAACCAAAAAATTACCACGAAAATGTGATCTTCAAATAAACTAAAAAAAAAATGGCTTTTTTACTCGATTTCCTAATAGTTTAATAAACTATATTGTTGATAATTTATTATTTATATCGAATAGTACATATAGGTTTTCCTTAAAAATAAATATTTCTCTTACAGGATAATAATTGTTTTATTTGTTGAAAACTATAAAATCAGTAAATTTTATTGCCAGGGTTTTTTTTTTGGTGCGCTACGTCCTCGATTATACCGTGGTTCGAAAAATGGTTCCAAGAACAACCAGAAATTAGATACGATTCTTTTTAATCACAAGAAAACGCTGTTTGTGTAAAACAAAATGCTTATCTGGGGCTCCGTTTTCAGTAGTTTAATGACTTCAAATGAGTGAACTGCATCATTTCAACAATGAATAATTATTTAATCGCTGTGACATTATTTATGTGGCTTATTTATTTATGTGGTGCTTCTTATTGGATTAACAATGGTAAAGGTTTGCAATTTTTTTTTTTCAGTTGATTATCAATTAATTTTAGGCATTCAATCAAATCGGCTCAATCAAGAAAACGTGCCGAGTATTGAATACAAGTACCTGATCAAGAAGTTGCTACCACACCCTAAGCAAAATCAATGGTGGAAACGGGGTACCCACAGGGTCTACGCCCCAATCGACGAGGAACCTGAAATAGTATTTGCATGAAGATAAAAATAATAGTATTTGAAGAGGAGGCTGATATTTATAATTATGTATTTGTTCTCAGTAGATTCAAGTCAAAAGAAATTTGTATATATTTGCCAACGTTTCGGCCTTAATTATGCCATCCTCATCAGGGCACTGAAAAACTGGACTTTCCTCAAGTAATTATTTACGTATTTTTACAACATAGTGAACAATTTAAAAAAGCTTCAAAACGAAAATTTCTATACACTTCTCTTGTTATACCTACTTACTAATTTGCTACCATGAAACAATAGCTTTTCAATGAAAAGAGACCAAAGAAAGTGAAAAGTAAGTAGAGCAACGTATTCCTTATTTATATAGAGCAGCTCCCACGTAAAATCAAGATAGGAATTCACATAACTATTTTACCTCTCTCTAAAATGTCTACAAACGACATTCAAGAAGTCTGCTTACGTCTTCAAGGTGTCTTGAAGACATCCTAAAGACGTGTTATATCACAAATTCCAACGTTTTTCAGGCGTCTGCCTAAAGACATTTTCAGGATTAATATTTCGTTATTATTACTCCTTTTATAACTTTCAATTTTTGTCTATTTGAAGTTCTAAAATATTGTAACTTGGCTTGAATAAGAGTTTTAGATCATTCTAGAAGTTTTTCAGTAGGTATTTCTAAATTGTTCTGATTTTTTTAAAAGTATTTTGGAGCCCTATTTGAAGCTCCAAGGTGTCCTAAATTGGTTCAAAAGGATTCTAAAAGGTTTCCAGTTCTAAATTGAATTGCTCTTGAAAAAATCTAGAGTTTCTACATTGTTCCAAAATACTCCTGAAAAGTCTGACTTCGATTTGACCTTAATTCAGTGCTGTGAAGAACGTGGTCGAAGCAGCAGTGTTCAGTGTTTCTCCACCGCGCAAAATCTGTGTGTACATTTATACAATCTTTCTGGGTAAGTCGATTTATAACAGCTTGTCAAAAAAAAAACATTTTGGATAGAGTCCCAAAATACTCCAGTATACTTATTTTAAGAGACACGTAAATCCTAAACATATTATTACAGAGATGTGATGTAGGTATTTCAAATGTTAGTGTTCAGGTTTCTATTGAACATACTAAAAGTCCTCAAGTGTCCGTGTTGCATTACCATTACATCCCGAAATTAGGTCCGCCATCTTATATTTTGGCATATTTTTTAAGTTCTGTCAAATAACTTGAAATTCGTAACCTACCTACCTACATATTATTCAAGGCAAATAATATATAGATGTTTGTAGAAAAATTAACATTTTATGCAGTAAAACTCTATTTTTTCATGTAACTGCAGAATTCAAAATTGTATATCTTGAAAACGGTTGTGCCTAGAAAGGTGAAATAAGCACCAAAATGTACTTATTTCAATTTTACATAAAAATTACCTCTTGACATTTTTTCGAATCTCTACGAATTTCAAGTTATTTGACAAAATTAAAAAAATATGCCAAAATACAAGATAGCGAACATAATTTCGGGATGTTATGCAACACGGACACTTGGGCACTTTTCAGTAGGTTGATAAGGACCTAAAATACTAACTATTGAGATGGGTCCCAACTTTATAATAATTGGCTTGGCTTGGGGTCAACTCTTAAGTGTACTGGAGTAAAAGGGAATTATTATGGACGATTGGGATGACCCCGGAGGGGGGTCTCCACGTCCCTAGAAAAAAGATTTAAAGATAATACAGAAGAAAATAATGGAATGTCCTCGTCGGCCTTGACTGATTTATCAACAAGAAAATGAAAAAATTCCTAATATATACAGTCCAACAGATAAGGGACCCTTTGTTGTAATAATAAAGGTTTAAACAGATAATTGTCCATTGAATTTGGTGATTTTAAAGCAGCAAATGAATTTATTGGAAATACATTTTTGAAAGATAGCGGTTATTCAATTATTTATGTACCCTATAATTTTGCAACATTGTAAAGGCATTATCAGACAGGTTCACAAGGATATTCCTTTAGTAACCCCCCTTAACATGGTCGGTGCAAACGGCCGCCATTTTATTTTAAATAAAAAATAAAAATTCAGCAGCATTTCAAACATCGCAGAAACCCCGTCAAATATGACGACAGTCGCTACAACTAGCAAGTAGTACGCCTTTAATGGCCGTTCGACCGGCCATTTTAAGGGTGGCTTAACGATAATCGACGCTTAAAGTGACATTTTTACATATACAAATGTCACTTTAAACGTTGATTATCGTTAAACCTCCCTTAAAATGGTCATCATAGACATCTTGAATATGTCTTCCGGACAAGACATTCTAAAGACGTCTTCAACGAGATGTCTCAGAGACGTCTTTAAATCACTTCTCAATACATAAACCATTATTCACTTGGTCTAAATGTACCGAATAGTTGCTTTTAGGATGTGAACTTACATACGACATCTTATCTTATGGACGTTTTCATTTTGTATCCCAAAGAAATTAAATAAATAAATATAAGAAAACAACTTCTCCTAGACGTCTTTTTTTTGTTCTTCAGACATTATGCAGACATGAAAAAAACGTCTTTAAGACTTTGTAAACTATTTAATTATTTTGCACTACTATTGTTTCATATTATTGTAGCAAATTAGTAAATACAACAAAAGAGCTGTATAAATTTAAATATTTTTCATTTTAAAGAATTTTCTTTATGTTCTCATATGGTTTTAAAATTGTATGCACTGCTCCTTACTCTTTTCCCTTGTCCTGAGGATGGCCTAATTTAGGACGAAACGTTATAATTATTTGTTTTAGAAATATATTAGTTAAATTTTCTATTGGATATTTTATTTATCTATCCTTAAAAAAATTGCAAATATTTTTTTTAAACTGCTGTTTGGCTCTGCTCCAAGTAGGGCAATTTGCCAGCACATTAGTGTGTATCCAGAGAGCTGTCTGGCTCTAGAGGCCATGCTCATGACAGTTTATTTCAAATTCTAGTCTTTAAACTTTTCTCTTGTAAAATACCATAAGTCAAAGTGCTGTCAATCAATCTTTGATTCTGAGCCTTAGGTGCTTTCTTCTGATGTCTTCCTGTGAGGAGTGAGTTGAGGTTGTCAGAACATAAAAGGAGGACACAACACAGGTTGGGAGCTTATTATTGTTGTTTCTGAAATGAAATTTGTGAGATATGTTCTCTTAGGAGTTACATTTTTATTCATGTTAATAAATGATTTTGTGTGAATGATGTTCTGTTTCTTGGTTGAGATCATTCCTCAGATATTGGAAGAGCTTAAAAATTGATTTTATTGTAATTGAGAAAAAAACATTAGGGTTTTACTTGTATTAATATTTAAATTTCGCAAAACGGTGATGATTGAAAGAGGTGCCGGATGACGCGCCCGATTACGAACGTCCGATACGAATCGAATCCTCCCATCTTTTTTCCGAATAGAGACTATGAACGTACTCAAAGCGAGACTACTCGGATCGAGAACTATTCCGTAGCTTCCGACAACAGCTGTTGACAGAATCGGTTTTTGTCCTTGTTACAAACACACTTGTTTTAGTTTTGTTCTTGTTTTTCTCGTTATGCCATCGGGGATTGAAGTGGGGTTTGCTTCGTTTTGTTTTTCTTGTGTTTTTATCAATGGTTTTTATCTATGGTTTTTATTGAAATATAGTATTCGTACATACATGCGAGCATCCACCTTGGATAGACGAGTCGGGCGCATGGCAATAAGACATCCGTTCGCCAATATCGAACATCGAGTACTGCGACTGACGTCACGTGACGTCAGTCGCAGTCTTCGATTGTTTCTATCAAAACAATGCATTTTGACCTTAAAAATCGTTGTGTCCAGTGTTATTTGAACAATTATTATAATAATCTACAAAAATAGAACATTCATTTTCAATTCCACCATGGATATTCCTTTCGGAAAAGTCGAGGAATGGTACAAAGCTTGGCAAGATTTAGGGTGGGTATTATAAAGCTGCTCTGACAGTTAACTTAAAGTTAACTTTTTGAATTACATGTAATTCAAGAAGTTAACTTCAAGTTACCTCTCAAAAACGGAAAAAGAAATCCATGAAAACGCTGTAAGTTTCCCATCAATTCGATGCATATGATGAATGATGCATTTACATAGTAAACGCAATAATAAAGGACTGCAGCTGACGTCACCTCCACCGAGAGTTATCACATTCTACCATTGTAATTGGGGACAGCTGATCGAAGCTGATTCGTGTGTTCGTTATCATTGGTTTGTAATCGCTTTTTCGGATACGATGCGTATAAGCTTCAAGTTTGTCTTCGATTGGGAAACTTTTATACAAAGGATGTTCATAATCCGGCCCCGGACCTCATAATGTGCCAGTACATAATATCGAAATCAGCTATTCTGTTGATCGAGCATTCGAAGAGTATGTGATTCAAGATTTCGATCGGTCCGCATTCACAATTTGGGCCAAAGACCTCAAAGATATCCCTCAAATAAATGTTAAACAAAATGGTGCTAGATGGCAAACCTTGAGGAAGACCCCTGGACCAATTAATGTTATTCTGAGTATTTCTAATGAATATGTTTCTGTTATTTAGTATTTTTAAATGTGGCGTTGCAAATTTCTGTGGAGCAATATAATGCGAGTGATGATGTATAGGTTTTTGGTAAAGGTTGTGGATATTCACGGCATCGAATGCTGATTTGATATTCAGGAACAAGGCCATTACGGCATCATTTTGCACAAATGCTAACTTTGGGTGCGGTATTTTGCTCAAAGAGCAGAGCGTGCTGAAGTGGAGCAGTTATCACGTGACCAGCGAACGCACAGAGCAGTTAGACGCTCTATCAGAGTTCTTCAAATTTTAAATAAACCAATAAATAAACAAACGCGAATGAGCCTGCACCGAGCACACTTTTTAAATAAATGAACGGTAAATTCAAGCTCGGAGAACTCAGATTATATCGAACGCACGGTAAGTTAATAGAAAGTTCTCGTGCGTCAGACGCTACGCTAATACGGTAACGCTAACAATACGGTATTTCACATGGTATAAATAGAGAGTTCTCGTGTCGTCCCAATTTCAAATACCGTAACGCTATTTGACAAGTATGACAGTTCTTACGGTATTAGCGTTAGCGGAGAGCGGAGCCCGCTACCTAACGGGACTTAGCGGATGCCTTACCGTAACGCTATCCTATGTAAAAATTAGTTTACGCTCCATTTACGTCTGCAAGAACGGCAGCTTCTAATAATTTCTCCATGAAAAACACCACAGAAAAATTAATCAAATTCAGGAGTCTTCACAATAAATAAAAGTTAGAAAAAAAGCAAAAAAAAGTGGGTTAGATCACTCGACTCAGCTGTCAAATGTGTACAGAATAGGGCAATCCAAACAAAATGGTGGTCAATGCATGGCCAATGCCAAAAAATTGGCGCCATAAATTTAATTCAAGCAATTGTGACATTTTTCATCAAAAAACTGTTTTTTGTGTACTTTGTGGTTCTTTTAGATGATTTTCTAGCGTTCAAGAGGATAATTTTCGTATTCTAAGATGGAAAGTTTTTACTTAGAAAGAAATTATTAGTAGAAAAAAGGCATTGGCCTCCATTTTGAATTCCATTTTGACAAGTCGTTGGATTGCCCTATAAGGAGGTAGAGGATTTTTGCGCCTTCATGTCCGAGAACTATAAAATACCATGTAAAATACCGTATTGTAAGCGTTACCGTATCAGCGTAGCGTCTGAGACACGAGAACTTTCTAATATTTAGGTAACGATAAAAGCTAGGTTGTTGTGTACCTACGCTGGAATTGATCGATTCTATTCTTCATCATTATTTCCATGACTTTAAGGTAACAAGAGGCCCAAGATTATTGATCGGTAGCCTTCTGGAAGTCGGGGTTTTTCACAGGTTTGTTTATGGGCATTATCAGGTATTTCTTTCAAGCGAGGGAGCTCTTTTCCTCCTAGTAGAGTTGTATATATTGAGGAGGATCTTATTTGCATTGAAGAGAAAGTTTCTTATTCTATAGTAGCAAATCTCGTCAATTCCTGTAGCAGAGTCTTTTTTATTCCTTATGGCTGCATTGAGTTCGCTTATGTTAAATTCATGTAGGTATTTTCGATATTTGCTTTGTTTCAAATTCTGGGTCTATGTCTGTAACTGCCATGTTTTTGAGGATTTGAAATCTTAGGGAATTATTGGGGGTTTTGATTTTTTTGTTTGTATATTATCCAGAAAATTGTCTGACCTGGTTCCAGATTTCTTTGGTGTCCGAGCTTTTGTTCAGGGTGGAAGAGTAGTTTATGAACTTTTCTTTTTTCTTCTTTTTGAAAAATCTTCTGCTTTTTGCTATAGTGTGTTTGAGGTTTATATAAGGTCTGTTTCTGCAGAAATCACAAACCAGTCCGAGCGAATTTCATTGGTTGAAAACAGTCAGAAAACTAGTTTCAATCGATGAAATTCACTATTGACTGGTTTGTGATTTCTGCAGAAACAGACCAGGGTCCTTATTCTTGAAACAGGGGAGCAGCGTTCCCAGGAGAACGAGTGTTCCGTCTTTCTCAATGATATGCAAATCTATATATATAAAAATCAAAGTTCACGGGGTATCCGGATATGCGCTCCAAAACCACTTATCCGATTACGATGAAACTTTGGTAGGTTGTTATGGCCATCCCAAGGAAGGTTTGTGGATAGGTTACGCATCTCGGAAAAAGAAATTAATTTTGAATTAATTATTAATTTAATTGTAAACAAACTCATTCATTGTTCACATCACATAACAACATAACCCAACTTTTTTTGACAGCATGAAACAACGTTGCCATATTTCATTTATTTAGGCTTGCATTCAACCGACGTAACTTTATTATTTTTTGAATTCAAGAACGGCTGGACCGATATTGAATTAATACCACGTATCTCCATATAAAGCCTAGTAATCATAACTGCGAAATTCGCATTTTGTTGACATTGCGTTGACAATTTGACGTTTAATGCCTGTATCAAACGTCAACTTGTTGAAGCAATGTCAAAAAAATGCGAATTTCGCAGTTATGAGTACTTAGGCTTAAGGTGAATTAGATTGACCCAGATTAGATCGATTTGGATTCAATTTAAGTGAACTTCTTCTGATCTAGATCATTTTTTTGTTGATGAGGGTGCACTGATCCAGCTTGAATCGAACACAGTGTGGTTCACTTAAATTGAACCAGATCGATCTAATCCGGTCAATCGAATCGGCTATAGAGTAGAGTGATATAGGCTATTTTTTATCACGAAAAAAAAAAGTTCGGTTGCGTAAAACTCTGATACACTGGAACGCCTATAAACAGCTCGGGGCGCTCTAGAGCAGCTCTGGAGTGCTTAAAATGCGTCACTGAACTCACTGGCAAGCGACTATGATATCGGATTTAAAAAAAAAAATTAAATAGAAAATCAACAACAGAATTTGAAAAGAAGTGTAGTATTTCAAAATGTATGTACATGCTGGCAACGCAGCGGGTCATTAGCTAGTGATAATATAAGTAACAAAGACGGAACACTCGCTATCCTGGGAACGCTGCTCCCCTGTTTAAAGAATAAGGACCCAGAGGCCGGATTCTATTCTACGAGTCGAGTCGAAATTCGTATCGAATTGTCAAAATAGCGATTCTATTTTTCGATTTTCCCATACGTATTAAAGCTTATTCTCACTTGCGCGAAATTCGCTCTTTTTTGATATTGCTTAGATAATTTGACGTTTGATAATTGATACACGCATAAAACATCAAAATGTCGAAGCAATGTCAAAAAAGAGAGAATTTCGCGCAAAAAACGCGAATATCGCGCAAGTGAGAATGAGGCATTACACGGTACGTCTGGAGCTGTCGTATTCGATATCGAGACAATTCGACTCGACTCGTAAAATAGAATCCGGGGGCTGTTTTCCATAATTTCCATGGAGGGATGGTTGATGCATTCTTTGTCCCACCAAGGGTTTCCTGTTCTGGGTCTGAGATTTTCTGCTGTTGTAGGAATGTGAATGGCCGCGTTCACCAGGGAATTTATTCTCGAAACCGCGCGAGGAACACGTTCTCATGAGAACGATTGCTCTGTCATTGTGAGTTTTATGGAAATATGGATACGGACGACGAAGACAGAACCTTCGTTCTCATGAGAACGCTGCTCTCACTTCATTTTCGAAACCGAGGAACAGCGTTCTCATGAGAACGATTGCTCTGTCATTGTCAGTGTTAGGGAAATATGAATACGGACGACGGAGGCAGGACCTTCGTTCTCATGAGAACGCTGCTCCCTTGTTTCGAGAATAAAGTTCAAGATACAAACGTTGGTGAACGCTTGTGATTGTTCTGCTGAACGCTATGTTCGATTTAGGGTGGGTATTATAAAACTACTTTGAGAGTTAACTTTAAGTTAACTTCTGGAATTACACGTATTTCAAAAAGTTAACTTCAAGTTAACTGTCAAAGCAGTTTTATAATACTGCTTTGACAGTTAACTCAAGGTTAACTTTTTGAATTACATGTAATTCCAGAAGTTAACTTTAAGTTAACTGTCAAAGTAGTTTTATAATACCCGCCCTTAGGTGTTTATAATTTTCAACACTTTGACTGAGTTTGGCTTTTTACTCTACGGAGCGGAACGTTGTGTATGAGCATGAATATCGTGACTTCATACGCTCAACGTAGAAGGGAACACTCTGAACGCTAAAACGAACAGGATCTTATCGTTTCGAGCGCGCTCAGAGTTTACAGAGTGTAAGCCGAACTCAGCCTTTGTGTGAGGTGAGTTCTAAATGATACAATCACTGAAGAGTTAAATTGTTTAGCTGTTTAGCACAACCAAGAATTTATCCAACGTATTCTGTTGGTATTTTTAAAGTGTTTACAATCCATTTTGGTTCTGGTGAACGCAGCCATTGTTAGCAGCTTCTTGTGTGTTAAAGTTTGTGTTCCGATCTAAATTTTTTGTTTTATTATAGATTCTGCATAATATGGGAGCCATCTTGCTTTCGCGAACTGCCTTTTGGGGTGGTACTCAACTCTCCATGCGTTCGGTATTTTGATCTGAGCTCTCCGCGCTTGAATTTACTGTTCCTTTATTCATAAAGTTTACTCTGTGCAGGCTCTTTCGCGTTCGTTTATTCTAATTTCAGGCACTCTGATTTAGCGTTCAACTGCTCTGTTCGCTCGCTGGTCACGTGATGGCTCCGCTCAGAGCAGCTTTCCAGTGCCTAAATTGTTAGAGTATCATGCTCCTGAAGTGTGACGCTCTTGAACTGTTCAACATAAGCAGCACTGGAACGCTCTCGTCTTAACCCCTACCATTTCGGACTGAGCATGGAAGGCCGAAATAAAGGTTGGTGCACGAGGGGGCAGGAGATAACATAAATTGTTGTATTCCTTACAAGAGTTTGAAACACTCGAGCTACTCGCTCCGGTGTTTAGTCGCCCCCCGATTTGCAGGGAACAGATGCGTGGTGCAACAAATATTTTTCGAAAGGAATAAGCGCGTGAAGCCCCGGAGCTGTTCCGGAGCTCCTCCTAGGTGTGAAAGGAATACAACTAATGAGTAGTTCAAGTGTACGACACTCTAATCACTGGAACGCGCAAAGTAATTGTTGAGTACTCCTGAGCTACTCAGGAGTAACTCAAATGGGTCACTGGAAAGCACCTCAGCTCAGCACGCACTGCTCATTGAACGAATATAGTGCTCCATATCTATTGTTTTAACTTAGAAAAGGATACAAAATCTAAAAGTAATATTTTCGGTGACGCTTGATTTGACAGCAAGTTGACATCGACATTTTTGAAAAGTTGAATAAACGGTTGTATTTATTTATTTGGAATTATTTCATTTAATTAAAAAAACAATTTTTCATAATTATTGTTTGTATGTTTTTTGTTTAAAAGCTAATTCCCGGACTCGAGTGACTATATGGATCCTGTAAATAACACTTTTTAATTTGTTATAGCTATAGAGGTACAGAGAAAAAAGCCTGAAAATTACAAAAAAACAAAAACAAACTTTTTGCTACTGGTACTAGGTACTACCAAATTTGCATATCAAACGAATTCTATATTCAGGACCATCAAATAATCAAATGGATAATCATAAAGATCTAGTGAAATGGTTCCGAGAGATGGGATACAATGGACAAATACCAGATAATCTTTTTGCGTACTTACTTTATATTCCATATCTTATGCTGCTTGTACTAATTTGTGTTTATTTACAGAATTTGCAATAATTCCACAAAATCTATATGGAAACAACTAATGAAAAACGTTCACCCTAAACAAGAAATAGAAACAATTAGAAGAAATATTATATTGAACAGGCTAATAGCCAAATCACTGAATAAACAGGTAAATGCAATTTTTTTTCTGTATCACACTATTATAAATCATCATTAATATTTTTACTAGAATGAATTTGCAAACAAAATTGAACAAGTTGAACAATTCAAGAGAAAAATGTCATCTGAAAAAAAGCTAAAAACCATGGAAGATGTTGTCCAAGAAAAGAAGCACGAAGTAGAACAACTTTCACAAAATTGCAGAATAAAAAGTACGTACTTATACTAATTATACTACAATATTTGTGACATTAATTTTTGTTTATAGATATGTCTTTGGATGTTTTAAAGAAAAAAGTAGAAGAAAACAAGCAAAGAAAATACTTGCTAGATTCCAAAAAGAAATTGCTGGAAGGGCAAAGTTTGCAAGCAAAAGAAACTATTCACGGACTAAAAAACATTACTCCAGTGGATAAAGAAGCAAGTTGCAGTACTGCAGAAATTACTGTAAGAATAAAATCCATGAAATTTGTTTAGAAAGTGTAGTATCTCTGTTTAGTATTTAATAGGTTTGTTTCTGCAGAAATCACAAACCAGTCGGAGTGAATTTTATTGGTTGAAACTAGTTTTCTGACTGTTTTCAACCAATGAAATTCGCTCTGACTGGTTTGTGGTTTCTGCAGAAACAGACCCAATATCTCTGGAAACTATAAATCATTTTTGAATCACTGTATTAAATAAAAAATAAAACGCAACTTTCATAGTCAAAATTAGGCAATGTCAATATCTGAATACCGATTAAAAACTGAACACATCCTAAATATAGGTGAGTTCTTGGACAGATTGGTTCTGGGAAACGCTAAATATATAGAAACTGTTTGAATTCCGAGAATAGGCTTCTTGCATCAAATTTTTTTATTGCTGATTTCAATAGTCCAAGAAAAATAAGTTAACACGTGTTTTTTTTTTTTCTTCTTAGTCAAAAATTGACGGAGATACAACACTATGAAATATGCCTATGACGTCACTTATCATATAAATTAGTGAGGTCGCACATGCTCAGTATATCTATATATACAAAACTTAATATTTGTATAACTTCCGGAATAATCATATTTGGGCGAAATAAAAGAAAAGTAACGATTTTTTTTCAATTTCCTACAGTTTGCAATAAACATTAATCAATTTAATTTTCCATGCAAGTACCCTATTGATTCGATTTATCACAAATGGTAGCTGGCCAAGAATATCAGGGCCATCTATTTCACCCTTTAGCAACCTAAACATTGAGCAAAGAATTATTTTGAATCTTCTTTTCTTCAATGACACTCTTCCAAAGACGCCCAACAAATATTCATTATTACAACCATTTACACTCATATTTCATGTTGTACCTACAGTTATTATAACTGAAATTTTCTGCAATCTAATACCAAATAAAACTTTTTTAGGTCACATTAGAAAAATGTGTAGAAAAACTAAACAAACACATAATAGACACTCAAAAGCTCCATATTAATTCATCAGTCTTTATTCCAAGTGCGCAAAAGAAAAATCCAGCTGCAAGTGAAACCTCAATAGCCACTTACCTATCGATAATTGAAAAGCAAAATTTCGCTCAAATAGAACGCAGTTGCAAAAAACAGGTTGTACAATTAAAACTTCCAGCTTCACATCCAAAAGTGAAACATAGATTATTTGATACTCCAAAAATAATTGTAAATGAAGAGGGTAGTTCTGATTCAGGCATAAAAGCCTTCTCAATTGAAGAACAAGACGAACTCAGTCCGATTACAGTAATTCAGAACCCTAAGAAAAATAAAAGAGAATCTTTGGGACTTTTGCCAGATTCCTGTCTGGAAGATGTGGCAAATAACGAAAACTTTCTGAATGTGAGCGCGTTCAGTTTCAAAGTACCGCAAACGACGAAGAAGGTCAAAAAACCAACCGAAACTATGGAATCTGAATTGCTATATCAGAAAAAAGCAGTTAATTGTGAATTAAAAAAATTATTGCATAGTAATGATAGTGAATTGATATACGAGGTTTTACAGAAATCCATACAAAATGTTGTAGTTCAGTTCACCAAGATTGTGTCTATGAAGCAAGTGGAGGAAGATAGGTGAGTTTATGATTTCTGGAATCAACCAAAATATAATTATGTACCAATAAATTTCAGCCAATGCAAGCTTAATGAAGTTGATTTAGCAAAACTAAGGTTTATCCATGTCCAAACCGAATTCAATATAATTGAGCAGAAAAAGGCCATGCAAGGGTTACTTGAGAAAATTTCTAGAAGGAAACTAGATATTCTGGTAAGCATAATCAAATTGTGTTCAATTTTATTTTGTGACAATTTTGTCTAGTCACTATTAATTATTAAGATACATACAAAATTCTTCAATTAGAAATTATGCATCAGTCATTCATTTCTGCTATGGTAGTTGCAATGAGAGCAAGTTGAAACTTTCAGGATTTATTAATTGAAGGTTTTACATTATCCAAGAGAAGTTGGAAGTTGATATGAATCTCACAACTGAATTTATGAATTTTATCCCTCATTGATGCTTAAAAAAAATCATAAAATTCTTGTAAAATCACCTACGAGGGTATCTGAAAGATACTTTAAGTCATCACAGCTACTAGAAACTTCCAAGATTTATTAATTGGAGTGTTTTTATTATCCAGAAGTTGATATGAAACAAACATAAGTGGAGTTACGAATTTTATCTCTGATTGGTGTTTGAAAAAATTATAAAATGTTTGTAAACTCACCTATTAGGGTTCCTGAAAAATATTTTAAGCCTTCACAGCAACTTCCAATATTTATTAAATGGACTTTTTTCATTACCCGAAATAAGGCACAAGTTGCTATGAAACTCACAACTGAAGTTACAAATTTTATCTTACATTGATATGTTGAAAAAAGATTCTTAAATCACCTATGAGGGTTCTTGAAAAATACTTTGAGCCATCACAGCGCCTTGAAACTTCCAATATTTATTAAATGGAGTTTTTTCATTATTCAAAACAAGGTAGAAGTTGATATGTAACTCACAACTGAAGTTATGAATTTTTCATTGGTGTTTGAGAAAATCATAAAATTCTTGTAAAGTCAACTATAAGGGTGCCTGGATAAATACTATCAATTAATCAATAAGACAAGATGCATTGCTAAAACATTATTTTCTTTTTTCAGAAAAGTATAAATCCAAAAGAAAACTATCTGAAAGAACGTCTGGAACTCAGTATAAGACAAGTGGGACTTCAGACATGCCACTCTGCATTGAAAAGGGAAATTGATTTGATAAATATTGTGGAGAATGACGATAATAACATCAAAATTTTATATGCACGAATTTCGAAAATCAAAACTGAAATTGTAAGAACATTACTTTTTACAATACAACAATCGATGACCTTATTACCACAGAGGATATTTGACGAAAAAATGCTCTATCTATCTGTGGTAACTATTGGTCATTGAGCATAATACAAACAGTATTATGAATATCCAATTCAATTTTGTTAATTTTTTAGGCCAACATCATCCATTTGCTCCAACTCACCATGGATGAACTATACAGATGTCAAAAATCTATAGTAGAAACCAGTGACTTAATTCTAAACCCTCTCTGGCAGTTAAGATCATTCAAATCCGACACTGACTGGTTGAATCCGTTAACAGAACCAATTTGGACTAGCGAAATGAAAGTTTTTGACAAATTTCCTTTGGAGTATCAAAGAAGGTGCGCTTACACCGAACCAAAAATTTTCTACAGAAATTTATGTACTGATAACTATCAAGCATCAAATTTATTGAGTGAGAAGGACTTACAAATGCTATCGATAGTTTTGGATAGTCCTTTCAATCCACCAGAAGCAATTTTATTGAACTTTCTTAGAGCCCAAATAAAATGTAAAGTTTTGATGTCAATTAGACAAAAAGGAGGTGTAGTGCATTATAAGAAAAACTACTCGCTTGAAGATTTGCAGCAGCAAGAAAGTTATCTTCAATATGCTTTAGAACAGTTACGTAAATTAATGTTTTCCACTAGAGCAGAACGTACTCTTTCTATGGGAAGTTTTATAAAACAAGCCATGGACATTTGGTGCGAAATGCCTATGAAAGACTTTATATCTGAGTCAAGAGTGTTTCAAGGTAACAATTTTCAGTTTTATCAAAATAAACTTAAAGCATTGATATAATAGATAATTGTTTTGTAATTATTGTACATAAGTAGAGATACAAAAATTATATTATTACATTGTCTTCTTGGGGTTATGAAATTTTTAGATCTTCTAAAAGCTCTGAAGTTTGGTTGACCTCTTCTTGTTCTTTTAACTTTTCTGATTCTTCTGGTGATTCAATCACAGCTGTATTTTGGCGTTGCTGATGGCGGGGTTGTCTTAATCCTTTTGGTAGTTCCAGTGGACAGTCGTATGAAAATATATTCTCATTTCTCGAAATACTGCTTAAAAGCTTAGTCAGCGAATACACTGACAGACTAACTTCATAAATCCTAAACCTATAAAAAATAAATCAGTTAAATAATCACACTAATGAGTTGCAAAAATTTGTTTTAGGAAACTGTTAATATAAACCTACGAAAATGTATATGTCTAATAATAAAAGTTGTACAGTAAAAAATCTTAAAATTAAATAAAATACTTCTTTGTAGGAATTGTAGTAGGTGCAGGTAGTTTCTCTGTATCGAAAACGTCTTCATGTAATCTTTGCTTTTTAAAGTGGTTGTCTAGTTCGTCGTCTGACTCAGGATTTATTCGATTAACGGTGGATGTCACTTCCGTGCGGGAGATTTTTTCTTGGTTCTCACATGTTTCTTTACATCTGCAAGAACTAGTACAAGATTTCTGGAACTTTCTGCAGCCGCATCTGGAAGATTTGCAGTTCCATCTGCACGTGCAGCCACCATTCGGTGAACGTTTGGACCTTGTTAGAGAGTCTTCTTTAAATGTTGTGCCACTTGCGCCGGTCTTCTTAGGTCGTTCTGAGCCAGCCAGATCGACCAAATGTAGTTTGGCAGTCCTGTTTTGATGTTTTTCAACTTTATGTTGCATCGCAAGGTTAATGGTAAAAATTGAATGGCTTCTTGAGCTTGTGGCATTCATGTTAGTTGATGCAGTGGCTCGCCCGCGAGATCCTTTGATCAGGACATCTAGTATTTCTTGTGCAGACTCAACAGGAATTTCCGTTAAATTCGGAATATGGATGCCTTTTGTCAAATCCTCACGTATTTCCAATATACACTGTTCCTTTGATTTTTCCGACATAAGATCATAAAGAATTTCCCGGTACATTTTCACGAAGGAGACTGTGATAGTGAAGTCAAAAGAAAATTGATCTTTAACAGTGCTGAATATTTCGTTTACAGCTCTAGGGATGACACCCACGTTTTCGCCTTCGCAGTAGGCAGTTCCCATCGAATGAGTTTTACCAGAGCCTGTGAAGGCTTGTTCTTGAAAACGCTCACCGCTTTTGAGTCGCTCAGCACTTTATATGTATATTTACATTAAAAGTGCCGAACGACTAAGAAGCGGTGAGCGTTTTCCGGAATGAGAATACCGGCCCTGTGGCCAAACCTTGTCTACAAACAATGTAAGTGGAACACACACACACACAAATACCTGGTTACCTTTATAAATATCTCTCATTGGTACGAAATTGTAATATTCATAATACTCTTTCAATAGCATTGTGAAACTGGATTCGATTATGAAATCTAAAAGTTCGTATTCGGAACGAAAACTCTTGAGTTTAATATTGAAATTTGTGAGTCATTGCTTATTGCTATTTTGTTGACTGACAAACTGTGCGATTCTTTTGAACTGTTCTAGAACCGTCCTTTTTTCAAACTCGAATAGGCCCAGTAATTAGGTATATTGGAAAGTAGTTTTTTTTTCTTGGACTAGTTAAATTTAGCTATGAATATGTATAGGCAGTAGTTTGTTTAACATTGTAAATATATTTAGATGTAAATTATAAAAAAGTTTATTTAAAAATTATAATATCTTTCAAAAGGGTGTAAATTTGCTGTTCAAAGAACTTATGTATTATTTATTTCTGGTGCAATTATTAATGTCAGTGATTTGCAGAACAAGCTTACCAAATTAGGTTCAAGTTATAGTCCAGGAGGTGGCGCCAAAAACATGCAAGAGTTTTCGCAAGGCGGATATTTTCAAAATAGGTCGTACTTTAGTGCTAGAATGCTAGTGTACAGTCAGCACTCACAGTTCTGGGACAGCTGGCTCTGGGACGCGGGCAAAGTTGTAATTTTAAGAAGCATCTAAACTGTTTTCTCAAAGCTTAAAATTTATAGAAATTTTGCACATTATCTGTTTGAAGGTCACAGATAACGTATGTAAATCGTCAGACGTCTAGTTCGTTGCAAAAAGGAGGTCAGACGTCCTCAAAGTTTTTATTTTATGGCATTTTCTTCAAATATATTTGTCAAATACCTGCAAAAATATATTTTGACAGAACACCGAAGAAAATGCCATAAAATAAAAACTTTGAGGACGTCTGACCCCCTTTTTGTAACGAACTAGACGTCTGACGATTTACATACGTTATCTGTGACCTTCAAACAGATAATGTGCAAAATTTCTATAAATTTTGAGCTTTGAGAAAACAGTTTAGATGCTTCTTAAAATTACAACTTTGCCCGCGTCCCAGAGCCAGCTGTCCCGGAACTGTGAGTGCTGACTGTACACTAGCATTCTAGCACTAAAGTACGACCTATTTTGAAAATATCCGCCTTGCGAAAACTCTTGCATGTTTTCGACGCCAGTTCCCCAACTATTAGGGAATAGAAGAAAAGGTAAATGATTCAACAACATAGAAAGTTAGAAAAAAAAATGGCACATACAGTGCGGTCGTAAAGTAAGGAATAAATTCAATAATTATAATTCTAAGCAATTTTTTTAAAAATCCTCCAACACGTCGATTTTATATTTTATCAAGCATTTTTCATAAAATAAAATTTTTATACAGGGTGGTTGCAGAAAAGCTGGACAGTTGGTGTGAAATGATAGTTCATAAAAATCCAAGACAAGAATGTAAAATCGGTTTTCCTCTAAAATTAACTGTTAAGGTTTTACAGCCTGTCAAAGTTGCAAAAAGTCAATTTTCAACTGTCAATATTTCCGAAACAGTTGAAGATAGGTATAGGATATGTTTCATGAAAAACACAGAATTTTATCAGAAATCCGAAAATGTAGAAAAAATTAGGGGTGTCCATTTAAAAAAATTAAGTTACTACGTGTCCAGCTTTTCTGCGACCACCCTGTATAATTATTTTATTTTAAGAAAAATGCTCAACAAAAAATAAAATTGACGTGTTCGAGGATTTTTAAAAAAATTGCTTGGAAGAATAATTATTTATTTTATTCCCTACTTTACGGCCGCACTGTATATTCAGAAATTTTGCTTTTTATGTTATTAGAATTGTATTTCTGTTGATGTGAATTTGAATAAAAAATATTAAATTATGAACTATTGTTTGTTTTGCACCCCAACAGATTTGTTTGATGAAACAAGAATAATTCAATGTGATGATAAATTCTGTTTCTTTTGCATTGTTTACGCAATAGTATTTGAAATTTAGTAAACTGGACTGCGACTGGATAATCGCGCAAACAAATAGAAATAGAAATGAAAATGATACCATAGGGTTGTCGAAACACACCTGGGTTTTCTTATAAGCTGTGCGTATATACGGGGATTCCCTGGAAAACGGTTCTCCACAACCACCAACGTATCACCATCGACTTAAGGCACTCAAGGTCCATTTTTAACAGCACAAGACATAGACTTTTTGAGCGTAAAACACGGAACTGATAAAAATGCAACGTGCATATCAAGTGCCATTGATCTAGTGTGTAAATCCAAATCTTCAACAGCTATCGGTCGGCGCAGGATCGTAGAAAATACACTCCTGTGTGCTTTACGCGAAATTGACATTCAAGTAATTCTTTAATAAGAATGAGAAGAAACCAAATTTGTAAATAATGTTGCGTTAACATGCATAATGTCCATTACAAAGTTAAAAAAAAAGAACTTATATTTTGTATTCCAGGAGTGTGTATAATATGGACAGTTTTGGACAGAGTTGTTGTAAAGTCTTAGACAGGTTTTGAGTTTTTTTGAAATTCTCAAACTTTTCTTTGCCACATAGAATTCTGAAAAAAAATACACCATGTAAATCCGTGCTTTCGCTACAAAATGGCAATTTTAGAAAAACCTTTGAAAGACCAAAGTCCACTGGAAAAAAATTGAACATATTTTTCTTAGTGGTCAATTTCAATTCCTCAGATTTTTTTATCTGAAAATAATTATTTCGCAACACTGTCTCTGTGCGAAGACGCGACGAACGTGGATGAGGGTCAACTTCAATGTGGGATCAGGGGTAAAATGCGCGAAAAGTCCGCGCTAAAACCCATTTTTTTTTCCTTAATTTTTTTTCTAGATCGAAATTGAAAAATCTGTCTCCGTTAGGTTTTAGCCAGTATCCCAAAGAACAACTATTCCAAATTTGAGAATTCTAGCTCAAGTAATAACGTCACAATGGCGTGGAAAGACATATAAACTTCATAAGCAAATTATATATGTATGTGAATAATTGTTTTGTAATTATTGTGTATTAATACAGATACAAAAATTAAATTACTACACTGTCTTCTCGAGGTTCTGAAATTTTCAGATCTTCTAAAAGCTCTGAAGCTTGGTTGATTTCTTCTCCTTGTTCTTTTACCTTTTCTGATTCGTCTCCTGATTCAATCAAAGTCTGTCCGACACTTTGCGCAGCTGTATTTTGGCGTTGCTGATGGCGGGGTTGTCTTAATCCTTTTGGTAGTTCCAGTGGACAGTCGTAAGGTTTTTCAAAGACATCGTAAGGAATAAAATCGTGAGGTACTGGCCAAACCTTGTCTACAAACAATGTGAGTGAAACACACACACACACAAGTAACTGGTTACCTTTATAAATATCTCTCATTGGTACGAAATTGTAGTATTCATAATACTCTTTCAATGGCATTGTGAAACTGGATTCGATTATGAAATCTAAAAGTTCGTATTCGGGAAGAAAACTTTTGAATTCTTTTGCGGCTCCCGCACTTCGATCTGACAGAGTTGTTGATGGGATTACTTGAAGAAATGCAGAATCCACAGTATCTTGTGTACGTGAGGAGCCCTCACGGGAGCTCAAACTAAGTGCGGACTATAAAATTATGTAATAGAAACATTGTGAGAAATAAATCTGCTCTTACCATTCGACTAGCGGCAGTCACTTCAAGTTTTTTTTCCGTAGCGACATGAGTAGTTGGTTGGCCAAAATCCTCAACGTTGACGCTAATTAACGAATACATTTTTTTAATGCAATTATAAACGTGCCGACCAGATTGTTCAAAGTCTGAGTTTAAATCTAATTTTTCTAACAATTTGGCTGGGATGCCTGTTATTGACATCCAATCTTCAAGGAATCGCTACAAAACCGACCGATAAATAGAATCTAACATTTGAAGCCTAAAAAAAAATACCTGATTTATGTTTGAAGCGTGTAACAATAATTTAATTTGGCCCAAATATTGGAAATAGCTTGAATTTGGATCTATAAGCACTCCGATGTGTTTGTTGAGGCTATCTTCATCACCCTGAAAACAATAATTGTGACAAAAAATGTCAATTAATGTTTTGGTGTCTTACCTCTACCATGTGCACAAAATAGCGTGGATAAAACAACAAAAATCCGGATAGTGTTTCGATACAGTATCCTTCATTGCATTTCGTGATTATAGAATGAAATGAGACTCTGCATTCGTCGTAATTTGGAAAATCGTGGTTCCCAACATATATGATTCGATGCAAAAAGGTAGCCTATGATGTTATTGATATTATATATGATGGCATTGCACATAAAAAAAACTTACCCTTCCATAAAGCTTCAAATTATCCAGCAAAGTTTGATACAAAGAATGTCTCTCTGGTTCTGATGTGTCACCAAAATCATCGATATTTATTCGAGGTTTCTTTTTGGGATAATTAACTTTTGGTGCTTTTTTACTCATATTTTTATCTATTCGATTTAATGAAAGTATGACTAGTCTGACATTTAACAAAGACTAATTGGTTGTCAAGGAAAATATTATGTCAATACCTTGAGAGAGGTAAATCTTGATCTTTTGCAAAGTGCCTCGTTAGAGAAGAAAATGGCAAGAGTGTCTTTCTGTATCAGAGTTGTTATGGAGTCTCAAACACAGATCCGCAATTTATTATTCGATCCAGCTGGCCTTTTTAGATTCTTCAGAGAAACTTTCAAGGCTCTAGTTTAGCTGCAAAAGTGCAGTTGCCAGTTACTTTCCTCTGGTTGGAGAAGTTATTTTTTCTACCAAGAAAATAGTGAACTCAATAGTAAAAAAACCCTATATTTGGGATAATTAGAAGAAAACAAATAAATAATCCTTTATTAAAAAAAGCACTTTATTGAAAATCAAAAATACAATTGCGTCAATGGAAATTAAATGAGCTCTAGCACTAAAATTCGAATTTCAAGAGATCCAAGTTTAAAAAAAACAAATACACATTATTGCAGTTGATAAATTAGGTAAAACTGTACAGTAGTAGTGTCACGACTGTCTTGTAATTATCATTATGAATAAATGAAACATCGATCCTTTTTAGTAGTAAGTAGGTCTATATTCTATATTTTTTTGTCCTTTTGTGTCAAAATGTCTTGTAAGGTTTTCTAGAAGAAAATAAGAAAATAAATACAAGTTTTGGCACAAAAAAAAAAGTGGAATCTACAAATAGACCGTCAGCTAATGATAGATTTTGCTGACCGATTTCCTCTCTTCGGGGATTTCAAATACTGAAAATGATGGCCGGTCAGCTGTTAAGGTATTTCTTATGGCCGCTGCAAAAGGAAAGTAAATTTTTTCATATGCCTAGCAGACGTCTGGTCGCTAAATTTTTATTTTTTGAGCTCAACACTGACATCATTTTCAGTGGTTGAAATCCCCGAAGAGAGAAAATCGGTTAGCAAAATCTGTTATCAGCTGACGGTCTATAATATGTCAAGTTAATGGCTACTTTGATACATTTTGAACTTATACGTGGCAATATTCTTTGTTCTGTTTCTGAGACTTAAATTATTGTTAGTTTTCGCCATTCTATATGTGTAAGGTGAGTTCTAGTTAAAACACAGTCATTGTTGAGTTTGATCCATAATATAATGTCTCTTGTTAAGTGAACAAAATCCAGTCATAATGTCCTCTTCCAATTTGTGTTTATTAATTCTCCCCCATTGCCCGTGTCAAAATGTTACTTACCCCTTTGGCTTATCCAACACACAATAGTAACATTTTTCAGAAAAAACTAAAACACATTGATACTTACTTACCAGGGCGATTCAAGCTTCTGCCTTTTTCTCGGCTCCTCAGCCACAATCACTTTCAACCTTACGCCATTCACCTCAGCGCCATGAAGAACCTACAAGAAATTATGTAAATAATCAACAGTATTGTTACTATATAAAGTCTTACACGGATAGCTTCTTCACAAGATTGACGATCGCTGTATCTGGCATAACCACAATTTCTGTTTGGTAACAAGTAGGCATCAATGAGATTGCCAAAACGGCAAAATACATCTTTGAGTACTGAGTTTGATATAGGAGTGGTACACACAATGAAGCACCTTGAAAATAATAATGATATCAACAAGTTATTTATAAACTAGTATTTAGTATTTACCTTGAAACACATTCATCATCAATGCTAGAAAAAGGTTTTGGATTGGGAAGTTTTGCACTGCAATGAACTGATGAACCTCCAGAGTCTGATATTCCTTTCAGGTTAAGAATTGTAGCTAAAATTTGAAAAAAATATTATAAAAGCTTCTAAGGGAACACCCCAAAAATTCTTACATGGATCTAATCCAGCGGCCTGTATCAAACTCGAAGCTTGAGCGATTGTCTCTGCTAGTTGCATGATGTCCTTCTTTTTCTCTTGGGAATCTTGAGGCATTGGAGAACCATCAAATACGGGCTTGACGATTAAACGGAATCCAGGAGGGTACTCGAAACCGTGCAGCTTGTCTTTTGCATGTGCCGCCCATTGGGGGCTGGCATAGACGATTTCCCCTATGGCCCTTGCCGGTTGCATATGACCGCCTTGATAACGAATTTCACAGTAATCCAAACCTAAACAAATTGGAATTTTAGCATTGTAATGCATATTAATTATGTATAATAAATGTATTTATTGAATATTGAATTGAACTGTACATCTGTAATGAAAACCTGTACAATTCTTACCTGGCACAATATCAAACAATTTCCACAACTGATCCTGATTGATATCAGGACTAGCAATGACTGTGAGCTTGGTAAATCCTTCATTGATACCAGAAGGTCCTGGAGCATCCATCGGAAAACTATTAAAGCTGCTACTCCTGGAAGCAGGGTTTGGTAGTAGAGGCGAAGGTCCGCCAAAGTAGTCTCGCTTTTCACCACCTCTCCTCTGATTCTGTTCTGAGCTTTTCGGCTCGGCAAATACTGGCTTGTACTTCCTGTCGCACTCTTCGAAAGCCTTGGCAGCATCTGAAAATCTAGTTAAAAAAAATAATTAAACAAAACATTATTTAGGAGTAACAAAATTGAATACCTGTTATATTTGACATAGGCAATGCCTTTGCTTTCTCTTGTGTTTTTGTCCTTGACGATGTTGATGTAATCAAGATCTCCAAAATGCTGAAAATGCTCATAGAGGTCGTCTTCTCTCATTGTTTTGGGGCAAACAATAAATAGACGTTGCATTTTTTCTTCTTCATTGCCGTCTCGTTTAGCTCCCTGATCACGACTAATAATTTAAAATATCACAATTTATTGTTAACAAAAATGGTCTTTTAGGGTTTTACCTTGCAGCAATCATAACTTTTATTCTTCTGGTACCAGTTACTAAAGCGCTGCCGTTCATTTTTTCCAGAGCACAAGCTGCTTCTGAAGTTTTTGAGTACTTTATGTAGGTTATACCTAGAAAACACATTATGCTTTATACTGAAAAATTAGTAGTTTTTTAGAAGTGCAATGAAGAATTTTTGATTTATTAGTTGCTTTTTATAAAAATACAATTGTCATTGATTGGTCAATGGAAAAGTCTCAAAATTAGTGGCAATTTTTCCTACCTTTGTACTCTCCAGACGCTTTGTCGTTTACCATCCAGATTTCCTCAATAGAGCCAAACTCCTCGAAATGCTTCCTGTAGTCATTTTCGGTAAGCGTTTTGGGGCCTATAACGAACAGCCTCGACATTGGCGGATCTTCGCTGTTTGAAATTGAATTTCTTTTGTACATGTTTTGATTGTCCATTGTTCAAATGGAAATGGAAAAACTGTGGAAATAAATCAGTATGTGGAATCGGAAGAGATTCTGTTTATTCGGATGCCGATGACTCAAATATCTTGAAAAGATTGACAGTTGACAGTAATGACGATCGAATGATAGGATAATTCGATGTTGCCAGTTGTCTTTTTTAGCTTTGTTCGGGTTGATGTTATCGGCTCTAGGGTGGCCAACTTTGTTTTCAAATTTTTCTGGACGAGGATAATAAAATATCAGGACATACGGTATAGATTATGAACATTTTTATAATTGCAGAAAAAAATACCATTTACAAACTTAAATAAACAATGTGAAAAATTTTGGGTTAATTTTCTTCGCTTTTCCATCCACAGACACATTTCGATCTAACAGATCTCATCAGTGTGGCTAGGAAAGCAAAGAAAGCCAATTCAAGTTTAATTCCTGTAGGCAAAGTAGAAGTAGTACGAAAATATACGAAGTGCCTACGGGCTGAATCCTAGTCTAAGATGGCACCACGACCAAAATTCGCTCTTCGTATTCTTTATTTGCAGTTCTGCCTTGATGTGTTCAATGCACAATCGATTACTCGCATCAGTCCAGAACGTCATCATTGGACCCAAATATAGAAATTACAAATTGACGTGTCTCGTAATACCTGGTGTGCGCGCGCAACTCGTGGGTTGCAGGTGAGCGTCCAATGAAAATCGAGTTTGTTACGGGCTTGCGTCATATTCGTATTCAGGAAAGAGTTCAGAATTAATCGTTCCTTCTTTCTTTGTAACGTGTAATTCGACAAAGAGCAAACTAATACTTTACGTATTACTCGAACCTATCGCAGTATCGTTTAAGGTTATGTTAGATTATTCTTGACATATTCCTTTGCAATTTTATTGTGCGATGTTGCCGGATGAAACATTTATCAAAATAAAAGTGCCATCGATGTTAACATACACTTTAAAGCTTTTTTTGTCTGATTTAAGGCGTTGTAAAACACTTGACAATATATCACTTCTTTAATGTTATGATGTTCGATTTGTAATGTCTACATTTGTTCTGCAACAATACAATCTGGCTACACTGCAGCCACGAGTTGCGCGCGCATGCCATTTTTTATTACTTTCTAACTTGTATTTTTTACAATTAAGGTCTCTTTTTCTATTCCTGCGAGACACGTCAATTGCAAAATGATCCAGAAAATTTTCAACTTAGGCCCAGTTGTAGCATCTCGATTCAAAACAAAGTTCAACTGAACTCAACTGGTACTTGAGCTTTCCCATTTAAAATACATTGCTGTCAGCTATTAATCAAATTCTATCATTTTTGACAGCAATGCATTTCAAATGGGGAAGTTCAAGTACCAGTCGAGTTCAGCTGAACTCTATATTTTGAACCAAGATTGTACAACCAGGGCCTTTAAGTATAAGGGTGGGTATTATTAAACTGCTTTGACAGTTAACTTGAAGTTAGCTTCTAGAATTACATGTAATTCAAAAAGTTAACTTCAAGTTAACAACTGTCAAAGCAGTTTTATAATACCCACCCGTCAGACATAATAAATTCTATTTTCAAGAAATGTACTATGATTCTCGTTATATACCAGAACCAGAACCAGGTATAGGGATGCCACCTTTGAAAATAAGTTGAACCGGAGAAAAAAAACCGTTATTGAAAAAAAAAAAAACTGAAAAAAAAATCCTACGAATCTGATAACAGATGCATTAGGTCTATACACAAGTCCTTCCCAACATCACCGGATGATGCTTCAGGTTGGGAATTAAGACTGTTGGAGAGGGAGATCCAAAGATATTACACACTACACAGGATAGGACAACCATGAGATAGCCTATCCGCATATATATGGCCTCTGTAGATCAAGTCTTAAGCACTCACCACGCCAAAGTACCAGTGATGACGTGGGCAGTGTGTCGTTCCTCGCCTGAACGTATAGGGTGTTTGCACCATAGGCTATGATGCCGCTGACTTTGGCTTTATGCTTATTTGGTTTTAGTACAAACAACATTCTAAAAAAACCCTTTTTAGATCTCGATTGCATTTTCTTCTTTGCCTATTATGTTATTCAAAATTAAATAAGATTTTTCATCATAAATGTATATTTTAAACTACGACCGCTGGCGCAAACAGTTAACGACACCGTGGATGACGTCGGCATGGTGCTACACTATATGACCTTGATTTCAAAAATCGAGGCCGATGAGCAATCCTGTAGTAGCACGTAAATAGTAGTGTTATTAAACTTTGGTAATATCCTTGCCTTGAGAGGGAGAGAGAGCAGGAACAGTATTGCGCTGTTTTTTTTTGTTAAATGCGTTTTTTTTTGTTGACTGGGTTTTACCCGAAAAAAAGGACCTAGTAATTCGGAGCCCGGAGACCATATGTGAAAACCCTTACTCCGGGTGAAACCCGGAGAGGTGGCAACCCTAACCAGGTAGCTGGCCTAATTTGTCAATATTCTTCACTTCATTAAGTTAAAAATTAAGTACAATAGGCGTCCTGCAATAGGCTGTTACAGGACGCTGGACAATGAACCCCAAATGGTGGACGTCCACCGAAATTCAGGACGGTTGGTTGGCAACCCTAATGGCTCTTGTTTTGAATGCTTTGAACAGGGACCTGCCCAGATTGCCAGATTCTCAACCTCAACCTCTAGTCGCAACCTATCGACCCCGACTTCCCATTGCCTTTTTACATGAAGTCGGGGCGTTACGTATCGACTTAACGATTGAGAATCCCACTAGACCGAAAGGAAATAACGGTTCCGTTTCGGTTCCAGTTCACAACGTCATGATAAATATCGGTTCCGTTGTACGGTTCTAAGAGAAATATTTGGATTCGGTTCGGATTAGGTTATGATGGCCCTGATTTTTGCTTTTGCTTCATGCATATTTGGTTAATCAGCAGGCTAACTTGAGTGACATCCCGTGTAATAAAGGAATTCATGGTCGGGATGTCACTAGCGGCCATTTTGGGATACGAGACAGGACCTGATTAACAATAATTTAGATTTTTCTTTCGAATAATATTTATCCTTACTAATTTATTTGACTTTGAAAATCATAACTAAAATTCCATTCTACACCGCACGCCTATGACCTCCGTCAGAAATAAACAAATAAATGAAAATGTCGGCGTCCCTGCCGTTTAATGACAGGATGGTATCCCCTAATGGCGGTGTGCGCAGAAAAGATGCGCGTGAGTGTTAGCCTGCTGATTGTTTTTCAGGTTTTAGTACATTATTTAATTTTTTAAAACAACCCTTGTTTAGATCTCGTTTGCATCTTCCTGTTGCCTTCATGTTAATCAAAATTAAATATTATTTTTCATCATAAATGTAGATATTTTTTACGACCTACGACCGCTGACGCAAACCGCTAACGACATCGTTGATGACGTCGTCAACGGTGCAACACTATATGAAAATCGAGGCCGATGAGCAATCATAGCCACTGAATTTTAAGGTGCTCTAACTATGGTGTTCCAAACAACTGTTGTTTTACTCGAACAATTCGTAGGTATTTTCTGTTTCTGACTACCCCCTCAACCTTTCCATGTTAGTATGAATCTCATGAATTCAATCCTATGTACAGTTTTTGAATAATCATACAGTTTTGTATATTTTCGTATGGTTCTCCCTTAAGCTTACTTTTCATGCATCTGTTTTTCCGGATCAACGGATTGACGGAAAAACGGATGCATGAAAAGTAAGCTTAAGTTTATACAGGCCAATAAATCTAAGATAAATTATGCAGGAACTTGTGATGTCACAACCGCCGAAATCGCAGTCTTCTGTTTGTTCAGTCGTCAGTGAATCGTACCCTATACTTTGAGTGGTTGCAATTCGCTCTAGTGAGATGGTCTTTTTGTTTTGGAAAATTTTACACCAGTGCCGGCTTTACCTGATTTACTGCTGGGTGCAATTTAAATCCCACCGCCTCAAGGTTCTTAGTTTTTAAAGTAACATCGATACATACTTTCTTCAAATCTCTATTTTTTCACAAACATATAGGTAGTAGCAGTACCTATGTGAAATTTGTGTAGAAAAATAATATTAATTTTTTTCAAAACAATTAACACCACGCAACCCATTAGGCCAGGGCAGCTAAATTTTTTCGTAACATAAAATTTAACAGCAAACTATCGATGCAGTATTGTTAAGGATCATTTATAGATGCTAAAAACCCAAAATGCAACAGCTAATTACTTTTAGGGGATTTTATAATAGTTATTTATGATATAAGTGCTAAAAGTGACATTTTATTTTGTGAAAAGGGAAGTTTGGGACACGACGCCGAAGGCGGAGTGTTCCATCCCTTTGAACAAAATAAAATCACTTTTAGCACGAATGTCATACACTATTTTTTCTACAAACGCACTAAAAGTGATTACTTTTAGCACTAGTGCTAAAAGTAATCACTTTTAACACCAGTGTCATAAAATGGCATTTTAGACACTGACAGCATCCGTTAAAAATGACACTTTCAGTGACGTTTGTAGAAAAACAATATTAAGTGCAAAAATAGGGCAAAATAAATATAAAAAAATTATCCTCAATTCGACAGACTGCTTTAGAAACATCCCCATTTTGCTCGACAAGGTTATTATGCCGAAACGACCCATCGGACCGGGCCCAAATTTGGACTCAATAAAGCCTGCCTCATCTACTATGTATGTGTAAAAAATTTATTGTCTAGCATGAAAATTAAAAAAGTTAGGAATTTTTTACGAAAATCTCTTTTTTTGGGGGAAAAAAATCATTTCTCGAAGACTAAAAGACCTATAGGGTTGTATGATGGCTCATTTTAAAGCTTGTTCAATGCTCTAAAACTATTGCCATAGTAGCAAAACCATCCGATCATTAGTTTTCGAAATACAGTGAAATAAACAAAAAAAGCCCTATTTTTGCACTAAATATTGTTTATAAAATCCCCTAAAAGTAATTAGATGTTGCATTTTTTGTTTTAAGCATCTATAAATGATCCTTAACAATACTGCATCGATAGTTTGCTGTTAAATTTTATGTTACGAAAAAATTTATCTGCCCTGGCCTAACAGAGGCCAATATATCGATTATACCTATTTTCTCAAAAATTTTTGAAATGGATTTAAAAAAGTGAATAAGTGATTATTTTGAGTCAAACCGTCTTTTCAACAATACTCAATTTGGTTTCAGATCTTCTATGTCAACTACGATTGCCATAAATAAGCTTATTGAACTGATAAATGCAGGGTTTGCAGGTGGCGATTACATTGGGGCTTTATTTTGTGATCTTAGTAAAGCCTTCGACTGTGTCTCCTCCAGGTTGATTGTGGATAAATTAAGACACTCTAAGTTTAATTTTGATAGTATGAAGCTCATTGCATCTTACCTGACCAACCAGGAATTAAACAGATGGTTGACTTTAGTGGTCGTACATCCGAACTTGTAGATGTGTCATATGGTGTGCCCCAAGGTTCGGTGCTAGGGCCGCTGCTGTTATTGGTGTACATAAACAATCTCGGTAGCTGCGACCCTGGTGCCGACTTGGTCGTATTTGCTGATGACACGACACGACTGTTGTGAGGAAGGGCTAAAGAACTTGAGGAATTGCAAGCGATTATGGGGGGGAGACGCGGTCGAAGATTACTGAATGGTTCACTGCAAATTCATTGAACCTTGAGAGGTGCTCTATTTTACTTTAGGCTCTCTCTCAAATGTTGAGTGTCCGGAAGCAGTTAAATTCCTGGGGGTGCACGTAGACTATAAACTGTTATGAAATGTGTTCATATTGATGAACTATGCAAAAAGATTGCCTCGGGTGTTAATGCACTTAAAAGCTTGGTGAGTGTGGTGTCTGAGAAAGTTATCCTAACAGCATACTACGCATGTATTGAATCTAGGCTTGCCTATGCATTGTTGGCTTGGGGTCATGCTTCCAATCTTGAGAGAGTTTTTGGGCTGCAAAGAAAAGCCATAAGAGCGATTGCTAAGCTCCACTATCGAGCTGACTGTAAACAGAGTTTCATTCGTTTAAATATTTTGACAGTCCCATGCCTCTATATTTTTCAATGTCTATGGTATACTGAAAACAACTTAGACAAGTATGAAACACATAGTAATATTCACGACCATCATACTCGAAATAGAGACAACATATATTTAGAATATCATAGAATTCATAGAGTGAAAACTGCACTTTCCATGCACCAAGGATGTTCAATTTATTGCCACCTTCTATAAGGGTTTTACCTGTAAGGGATTGGTGAAGAAATACCTAATCAAGAAGTGCTTTTTATTCCATTGATGAATTCTGTAGCAATGATTTCTCAGACATTCTTGATTGAACATGATGTGTCATCATAAACATGTAGTCAGTATTGTAAGTGATATTAATTAGATGCCTCAATATTTTGTATTTATATGTTTATTTATATTTTTTCTCCTGTAATTGTTTAAAATTTGTACCTGTTCAGTAAATACTTGTTCTGCATAGGTGAAAAACTTGACGAGTCTAAACATTTTTGTAATGTATTTTGGCATAGATAATTATTGTATTCTTGTATTCTTGATTCTTTGGAAAACCTTCCTATAGAGCCAATCAAGAGCCGGTATAAGTCAAAATTTGAACTGTTATCAACTCTGGATTCGCAAGAGAATTTTGCTGAGGGCATTCAAAGCTCAAGAGCCGATAATAATCAAAATTCCGAATGTTAATAAGTTGATATCGATCAAAATTTCTTCTTCCGCAGCTCCTAATTGGCTCTAGAAAAATTATCCAATGGAAAAAGAGCCACAGATAATCAATGTTTGAACTATTACCGGCTCTTGATTCTTTGGAAAACCTTCCTAGAGCCAATCAAGACCCGGTAATAGTCAAAATTTGAACTTTTATCAACTCTGAAATATCTCAAAGACACAATGAGAAGGCAAATCTAATACCTACTTAATTTGAAACCAAATAATACTGTCACAGCCTCTCTGTGACGGGGGGTGTAGGGTGAATAGATGGAGAGAAACTCGCTCAGTTTTATATAGAAAGGTGTATATTTGCTAAGAAGTCATTACGTCATGAATGCTCCAGGATGCATGCTCTTCCGTGGGAAGGGCCACACGTTTGACGCTACTTAGAAAGGAATGTCGGTTTAATGTTACATAGAATGTTAATCGCCGTTTAACTGATTCTCATCTAAAGGGGCTTTCCCAGGGTGGTGGTACTAACACTGGTTCAAATCTGTCTGTTGCTCGGCTTGGCCCACTATTTATATAAATTTATCGCTGAATTGCAATTAACATTCGATTAATTAATATGGTTGAATACCGGGTCCTCCATTCCTAAAGTAGCTAGTTGACATTACAAACAATTTTATTTCTAGCATTATTAATACAAATTTTTTCAATGGAGATTTTTTACAATCATTTCCTTGACTTTCAATCTGTTAGCTTTTCCAGTGATTGTGGTGGGAAATTCTTTCACAAACACCAACCCTTCGCGCAGCCTAAAATTCAAATTCATCAATAGTTTGTATGTACCTAACAATTATTTAAAAAAAAAACCTTTTATGGTCTTCAACTCTATCTTCCACATATTTAACCAGCTCTTCTTCTTTAACTTTTCCAGCACTACTTTCTTTTAATATTACCACACCCATAAGTCTTTCACCTTCGATTTTGTGCGGTATACCAATAACCATTGCATTAAAAACGGCCGGATGGCTAAACAGAACTTGTTCTATGTGACTTGGATAAATTAACCAGTCATTCCAGCTAGAAATTTTGTCATTTATAATTTGTTTTAAATGCAAACAAACCATTAAATACCCTAGCACTGCTTTAATCCTGTCGACAATAAAAAAACAAAAATCGTTATCAAAATAAACCAAATCTCCAGTTGCAAAAAATCCATCTTTGTCAAAAGACGCCGAAGAATCTTGATTGTGAAAACCGGTAAATAATTTTCGACCCTTTAAATATAATTCTCCTTGTTGATTTGGGCCACAATTTTTGCCAGTATTCAAATCAACTACCTGAAAATAAATTTTCTGCTTTACATAATTAGAGAAATATTCTAATTACTTTATAGTAAAGTCCGTTTACTGGTAAGCCACAACTGTCAGGCTTTTCATGCAATAGTTTTCTGTGGTAGGGAATATTCTCATTGAAAATTGTATTAATGCCACATTCAGTCATTCCATATGTTTGCATTATATGGACACCTGAAGCAATTAAAATGTTTTAAAATTATTAAGCTAGAAGTGGGTCCAAACCTGGCAAAAGTTGCCTCAACTTAATCATATACTCTTTATGAAGTACATATCCTCCAATAGAAATTTTCAGCAAGCTAGAAGTATCCACTTTAGTCGGTTTTGGCGTTTCCGTTAATTCAATGCAATGTAAAGGAGTAAGCATTAGATGGGTGACCTAAAAAAAAATACTATGAATGTTCCAATTAATTAAATCAATGCCTCACTTTGTATTTCTCAACTATAAACCAAAGTTTCTGGATGCACATTTTATCTTGCAACAGTCTGCAGCCTCCATCACTTATAAAACTAATCATTTCCATCGAGGCACTGACCCAGTACCAATTTGAGGTTCTGAGACTTACAGAAGTTGTTCGGTGATTTGTTGGGTCAATGCTAAAATAGTTTTTTATAAAGGACCCAAAGTATACGGAAAATGTGTTTAGGTATGTCAGAATTGGCTGAATTTTCTATATAATGTAGGTCACGCCTTTCTGATTAAAAGTTACCATTGCACCAATCCTGAAAAACATTTTATTTACAATCATACATGTAATGTTGACTTTACTGACTTTTAAAAAGTTCGAAAATGTCACTTTTTTGACTTTTACTTTCGGCCCACGGGTCGAAAGTTTACTTTCGACCCGTGGGCCGAAAGTAAATGAAATTGTTAATTATTGTATTTTTTAGTTTTAATCCAAATGAAAATTTCAAAATTCGAATGATTGTAAATAAAATAGTATACATACCTCGGTGAAAAGTTTCATTACTGTTAAGTTAGACCGAGGCGCAGCCGAGGTCTAACTTAAATCTCTCGACAGTAATGAAACCCTTTCCACCTCGGTATGTAATATACTATTTCTGAGAAAATTAATTTCATAACGGTGATCCACATAATATACAAAATTCAGCCAATTCTGACATAAACACAATTTCCGTATACTTTGGGCAGGGTTTTGGATAGCTTAACGATATAGTTACCCTTCATGTATGAATACAAGAAAATAATAATGATTCAAGCAAATGGGTTTCGGGGTTCCTGTGGAACCACTACTGAAATGAATCATGCAAGTTTCTTGCAGATTTTTAATAAATAGTGGCTGAAATTCTTGATAAAATTGTAAAAATTCTGATTGAAATTGCAAACCAAACTCGATTAAATCAACCTCATAGTTGCACTCTTGGAAAACTTCCTTTATGATTTGCTTTGCATCATCTAAAATATCAAATAAACATCAAATATATACATAGGTATTTCGCATTTATAATTACGTATAACAAATATCAGTTTTGGTTGCACTTGTTTAACCAACTCCAAAATTTCATCAAAGCTCATTGTCGGATCTATGCTAAAAGTAACGCATCCCAAAAACTGGGCGGCAATTATTGGAATGTTCGCTTCAAGATTTTCCCTATTTGAACAAATGGCTATCAAGTCTTTTGGTTTTATTCCGCGTTTTTGTAGAGCCACGGCCGCAGATACGGTTTTCTGGAATAGTTGCTCATAGGTAAGGTAGTTGTCGTCAAAAGTATTTAACTGGAATTTGAGTTTTTTAATTGTTTCTTAAATTTCTAAGTTACTTACCAATGCAATTCTGTCACTATATTTTTTTAAGTACTCGAAAAGCATACAACCAATACCCCCGCAATTTTCATTAAATTGAAAATCAGGAGTTTTAATTATTCCATCTTCAAAAACTAGCATTTTGTCTGAAAATGTTCATCAGAAAACTTTCAATCGCTATAATGAAAGGAATCAATGACTTTGTTTATATTATTGAATTGATTGCCTTATCAATACCTATACTTAGTTAATTTATTTTAATTGGAAAAGTTGCAATTATTATTGAATGAAGAAATGTTCAAGATTGTTTATTATTCACTTTAGTGCTGTTACCTTTTTCCTGTTTTTGTTTATGCATTGTAGAAATAAACGTGTTGTATGTAAATTGTACAATTTTTCAATGTTTTTCCAAAACATCTTATCCCATAAATGTCCTTGGATAGTTGATTTGAAGAAAGTAACCTTTTCTGAATTAATTGTTAGGATTTTGTTTCTTTTCAAAACAAAATTAACAAACTTCCAAATGCTGCTAGTTAAAGTTGTCTGAGGCATAACTTTCAAATCAAACCTATTGTTCAATTTCGTCTACGCGCCCTGTAGGTATATAGTTGTAGGTTAAATTGGGTATTTAGGATGTCAAATCCTATTTGGGAATGGAAATTGATTTGTTTTTGTTTTTTTTTTTTTTCATTATTTTTGTTTTCTTTTATTCTAATTGAATTGCGCGTGCTATTTACCATATGTCTAAGAATTGATACGGCTTTGCTGAATTTGGCTTTTAAGAATGCGCGCGTTAAACACTAAAAAAGGATATCTGCAAAGTCCTTACACTGCCGACGAGTAAAGTCAGTAAAAATAATCCGTCCGTTTCATGTGGTTCGAAAAAATAGACCTGCGGTTTTTTCGTTTTTCCGCGACCGGTTAAATCAAGACGGTTTCGCTTGCACTCCTTCGCATTGGACTTGAACTTCCTGAAAGAGCTGGCCAACTGAGTGGAGTTTGGAAGTAAATCCAGGTAAGGTAAAAAAATAACATTTTCAGTTTCGATATCTTTCAATTTCAATTTAAAATCTTTCATCGATTACCATTCAATCAGCAACCTGTGGATTTTCCAGTTTTAATATCGCACACCTTCAGCTCGTTAAACTGCAATTTGTTGTTGAGAGTGTTTGCAAAATTTTTCAAACATCTCATAGGAATTTATATCCGCTGGAACCTTAACAATATTTGCTTTGGTGTAAATTGGAATGTCTTTTGAGGAAGTCGCTTTTAGACAATCAGCTAAATTGTTAACTAGCTTGTCTTGTATAAATTTTATATCTAAGATTTATTACAATGGCGTCACTTAGTATTCCAGGAACACACATTCAAGGAAATATGGCCATATCTGAAGAAGTAAAATTCAAGATTTTATTGAAATTTTGCCTCCATTGTTTTTAAAAGCCAATACACTAATTGGCTCACTAAGTGTGTATTTGTTATTGCTTATAAAATACATTGAAGCACAATATAGATTTTTATCAACCAGTTTCACTTAAATTACCTAACAGTTATTTGAATTAAATTTTTCTATCTATACTGTTGCGTTGCATGGGATTGGCTGATTCATGGTGTAGGCGTAGCTTTGTGAAGGGTATCGCCGAAACATATAAAAAAGCCGTTTTCAGGCCAAAGGCAGTCAGTTCTTTTCAGGCAGTGATTGAGACTTCATCTCGCCTGTCAGCCCCGTTCTCGACGCCAGAGACAAGAACAGCTTTCTCCTCATTTGTTCGACAGAAGTGCAGTGACATGTACCCAGCACTTAGGAGCGCGTAATAGGCTGGCAACGCTTTGCTGTGGGTCACCTTGCCTTAAGCTGCGGTCGCAGTGCGAGCGGTTTACCTGGAGGATATTGTGTAGCGAGGCGCCAAGCGACCCTCCAAGGAACCCACTAGTGTGTTTCCGAAACATGTGATTGAACCGAATCAGCCAAACTGCAATCCTCCACCACCTTAACCAGCCTAGCGGCCCACCAAGCACACCACCTGGAAATCAGTCGTGTTTGATATTTTCAGCCAGGCGCAAGGCATAATTGGCATGGAAGAACAAATTAATTTCGGCTGTTTATAAACGGGAACCCAGCAGACGAATTAAGGAACATACGTGCTTAATTAAAGAATTTTTCAGGGTAATTTCGCATCTTCTTGTAAACTCGTAGAAATTCACCATCATAGTCTCTGTGAAAGGGATTAATAGAAATAAATTTTTTGTGAAGTATACTTAAAGGACTCCTTTCTTTCATTTGCTCTGCAAGTTATGCACCCACCTCCTCTTATTTTCCAGATTTACATATTTTAGATAAGAACTGTCACAGAGGAGAAGCTATATTTGGCAAATTTTGAAAGAGGCACGTTGAGCACTCGAAACTACAATAATTTTACAGTGGCAACAAGCCTAAATCCGCCCGACGCAGCGGAGCTTGATTTTCTACGCTCACTTTTTGCTGAACTCGAAGACTTTAGAAGGCAAAAAGAAGTCGAAGCTAAGAAAAGCTTATTGCGCGACAATACTAAGCACAAAAATGTTCAAAGTCAATTCATTCAAGATAAAATATTTATGCGAAAAAGTTTTATAGTCAATTCACTTCATAGTCATTTCAACATTGATAATGTCAAAATAAAACTTGTCACTACAGTACTTACATTTGAATTATCGCCCTTAAAATCACTTAATTATTCTAATTATTATTTACTTCAAAAAAGCTGAAACATTTACTTTTTTTTTAAATTCGAGTTATTTACTGTAATTTTTACTTTTTCCGAGGCCCAAGTTTTTATATTCGAGATAACAATGAATAAAGTATTGAGTCTTATTCTCGATAATTGATTGATTTAGAGCTCGCACATAATGTTGAACGAATTTAAATGTTCTTTCTTTCATAATTTTTCGTTACTTTTTCAAAGGTTCGATGTAGAGCGTTTTCCCGAGGCAACAAAATAAAAGTAACTCTTCGCGAATTTTATCCGCACTGACTGTAGACTTAAACTCAAGACTGAACTGAAGACTCAACTAAACAGACTGTAAACTTCTAAAACCGCTGTTTTTATATTTTTTCGTTCCCCCAAAATATTCCGGGTCATGTCAATTCATTGACCGTTCTTTCTCTAAGAAATATATTTATTTGTTTAAAACCGAATAATTATGTCGCAATTTCCTGGATTATCGGGGTCAACAGTTTTGGTATAGGAATGTGAGAACATATAAATCAATAAATCAAAGGATGCCGATAACTCGTGTCGGCCGTAAATCACCAATTTAATTACTTTTTCCTGGATTTTAATATTTTTATGGATTTGATTTATGTGATGACACACGCTTGGTGATTAATTAATTTGGGTCCAATGCTGATATGTCTCATCATTTTCCAGTTTTATTGATAGCGATTTGAAATATTAGAGATTCAATTTCTGATTATTTGATAACATTTAATTTTTACTGTTAAGACATTGTAAATTACGGGTGTATTTTTCCCGGGTCATTACAAATACTATTTTGCCCAAAGCTTTTTCCAGTAAACTTTTGTCATTATGGTTTCAATACATCGCCAAATACATTAAACATTGTTTGGTTCAAGCAAGTTATATCAGGAATTATGTGGGACATTATAATTATTGAGCTGTGTTGACTTATACAATTCGCTTCAGGATCCAGAGGAATTTTTTCAAATATATCTTGAGTTGTGTTAGTGTGTTTCAGCAATTCTAACAATGTCATCCAAATTCTTCTTGCTAAAGTAAAAATAGGAATATGGTAGCAGGGATATAGGATTTTGGCCACTCTTTTTTAGGAAGTTTGTAGCTTTTAAATAATTTAACAAAGCTCATTTTGAATAAGTGAGTGTAATGTGTACTGTCCACAACAGTTGGATCTTCACTGCCAAGTTTCTCACATAGCACGTTGCTGAAAAGATACTGATCTGAGGAGTTTAACTTGCCATATAATCCAGCAATTTTATTTTTACTGGGCCTTTTTCCTATAGACTGACTCTACCAAAAATTAGTTTTATAATTTCCTTTTTTGTTGGGGTGGTGAATATGGTGGATAGTCTTTTAAATGATCGCTGACTGCCAAATCTAGGGAGGAAGAGGTTTTTGATTCCAAATCTTTGTCGATAAGGCAAAGCCATCTAGAAACACTCTTAGATCTTGACTTGCTCTTGGACTTTGGTCTACTTTTAGATCTTGATATTCATCTGCACTTTTGGATCTCGATCCAGATTTTTTCTTGGGTCTTGCTTTACTGTTGGATCTTGCTCTAGATCTTGCTGGACTTTTTGATCCACTCTTGAATCGAGCTGGACTTTCAGATCGTGGATCTCGATCTGGATTTGGCTGGACTCTTGAACCTAGTTCTTGATGGATTTCAAACTGGGTAATCTTGATCTAGAAGCAGCAGGACTGTTAGATTTTGACCGCGTCGATTCTTTCCTCGATTTGGATTGACTTCTGGATCTGGACCTACTCCTGGATCTTGATGTGGATCTAACGCTATTATATCTGGATCTAGACTGTTTTTTTATCTAGATTTTGGACCTGCTCTTGTATTTGGACTGGGATCTTGATCTAGACCTGCTTGCTGATCTAGATCTCCTTTTGGATTTCGACCTGCAAAATCAAATGTGAAACTGAAAAGTCTTTTAAGCGCCCAACACCGAAAAAGTTGAAAAAAAAAAAAAAATGTGGAGGGGACATTTGTTGTTCAGAAATTGATGATTTTGAATGGTTGTTTCGTCTACGGTGTCCAATGAAGAACTGAAAATTATAAAACAACATTGAAAAAATTCAGATTTTTAATACAAAATACAAAATAATTTTTTTTATTGCGTTTTTTAAGATTTTAAAAAAATCGTTAAGGTGTTTTCAAAGTAATGAACCATAAGGAAAACTGTGAAAGTTTGGGAAATCCAAAAATGCACTGGTGTGGTGTAAGCCATCTGGGATATGCAAATGAAGCGAGGGATGAAGTACTTATTGAGAAAGTTTGTGGATTTCCAGGAAAGTATGAAGAAGTTGAGAGAAGTTTAAAGACTTATGGGGCATTGTCATTAACTAGCAAAATATGAAGTTTTCACAGAGGTAGTTCAATTTATGCAAATTCAAGAAAATATTGATGAAGTCAGAAAAAGTCCAAAGAATGTTTTTGGAAAATGTGGAAGAGGAGGTGGTTTCCCCCTAGGAAACATGT